AGGGCAGGAGGGTGAGGGCCAGAGCATCGACTGTGGGGCATCACTGCAGTGATGCAAGACACCAGGTGCAGGGGGCAGGCATCATGTGAGGGTGGGCCTACCAGTGAGGCAAGGGCAGAGCAGGGCATAAAAGGGTGGGCTGAGCAGATGCTGAGTGAGACAGGCTGGCAGTCTGACAAAGCAGCACAGCCACAGCACATGGAGTGCTGAAGAAAAGCTGACCAAGCCATTTGCATGGAGTGTGCATAAAATGGAGACTGAGACCCGTGTCCAGGGGGTGCCAGGACTCGCATGCAGACCAAGGTGAACAACAAGCATGGGGATGTGCTATAGAAAGCACCTGAACATGGGCACGTACAGGATGTGTATGATATGAAAACTGGGACCAAGGATCAGGGGATGCTGGAACTGGCATACAGACTGAGGTGGGCAGGGATGTGCATGGAATGGAGACTGGGACCCAGGGACAGGGAGTGATGGGACAGACATGTGATTCACAATGGTGAAGGATGCAGCAGTGACTTGGTCGAGGGGGCACATTGGCATTTGGGCATGAAGCGTGGATGTGAGAAGCCCTGATGCAACCTGACCACTGGCATGGGAGAGTAGTAGCATACATGTATATAATAGAGTGTGGCTACAATGAAACAGGCCATCCATTTGGTCCCGTGGAGCCATCTTCTAGAGAGTAGGTGACTCTCAAACTCCTGGCCATGCAGCGGGCTGGCTGGGAAAGTCAACATCATGTACCAGTGACAACCTGACTGATGCAAGCCATAAAGCAAAACCTGCAAGTGAAGTACATGGCCAGATGCCAGGCCCTTCAGAGCTATGTCAGACAGTGGTCACATGTAGATTTCTCATCATCTCGCAGCCTTCCATAGAGATAACCACTCTTGACATTGATCTGTTAAGCATGCCAGCTGCTCCGAAAAGCTACTGACAGAATAGTGCAGATTGACATGTTTACAGCCAGTGCACCCTTTGCATGTCCTGACACTATCTTGTGCATCTTTGAGCTCAGCAAACTGATTCTCTTGTCTATCACAACATTCAGGTCATCTGGCTTGTGAATTTCTGCTGGCAGCTCATGGTGCACAGGAGAGAATATGATAGGAGGTGAGGGAGGTGGAGCAGCATCAAAAAATTTCAACGTGGATCCTATGTCCACATCATGCTCTCCATCAATGTGCAGAGCCTCCTTGCTAAAAATGTCAGGCCCAATACAAGCTCTCTTCCATGCTGTGTTAACCCTGCTGCATGACAGTGCTCCAACCATATACTGATTTCAACATAAGCTCATCTGGATGCACTGCCTGTCACCCTGGCTCATATGGTCATTCTTGCTATGTCACTCATTCTTTGACTGGTCGACTGCTACGCTGCTCACATATTCTTGCAAGCATCATTCACTGAAGTCCTCAATAACTCTATGGCATCGATTCAATTTCTTACCCTTTCCTCCATGTTTTTTTACTGTAAGAGCCAGGGTAATGAGCAGCACACCCGGACAAGCTTGTATTGAAATCGGTGTATGGTTGGAGCACTGTCATGCAGCGGGGTTGACACAGCATGGAACAGAGCTTGTATTGGGCCTGACAGCCACTGGACAAGCTCATAAGGAGCTGCCCGAGTAGAAACAGCAAGTTATATGTCAGTAGCTTATGTAAGCTAAACTCTAACCTTATTTACAGTCACACCCACAAAGCAACAGCTATACCTATGTAGGTCATGGTATTCAAAGGCCAGCAGAAGTCCTTTAGCATGATGAACATAGCATTACAGCATGTGCAGAAGGTAATAGCCATCGTCAGCCCCTGCATATACTTCATTAATCTTCTCATTTTCAGGCATACCATCGACATCCATTCATGAAGTGTCCTATACAACATTGCAACAGTCTAACAGAAGGCCACTGAAATCATTTGCTCCTCACTATTCTGCTTGATAAATGTTCTTTAACTGAATTGCAGTATGCCATCAAACAAGCTAGCACAAATTGTTCTTGCGAGCTCACAGGCTCTTTGTGTTCTTGACCACAGTGGAGATGTGGCTGATCAATGATGAAAATATGAAGATAGCATGTTGCATAAGTGTGACAATCATTTGGCTGCACAGAAACAATGGAAGGCTGAAGCTGGAGCTCACATGACAAAGAAAGCAACAGGAGAACGAGCAGCAGACAAGCTGGGGGTGTGTTTATTTTGAAGATAAACTCAAACAATATATGACCATCTTTTCAGCATGCACATATAGAGGAACTTTGTTGGCAAGCAGAGCAGCTGGCAGAGAAACAACAAAAGGCCAGAAAGTGAATGTGAGAAGTCAAGATGGAACATGATGATGAGCAGAAATGAAAGGCAACTAAAAAGGTGAGTCATAATGCAAGGCTTGAAGGAAGAAGTGGGGATTAGATGGGAGAGCTAAGAAGAGGAGTCAAGGCAAGCTGCAGAAGACCAGTGAGGCTGGTGTTAGGGTGGAAGGCACTATTCAGTGATGAGGCATGTGCAGTCTAGATAGTAGATATTAATGGCTTTTGTTTGGTGCTGGGCTTCACATCAGGATACAACACAGTATTGGAATGCATCAGAGACCATGCTCCTCATCAACACCATCTCCTCCTGTGCATCATAAATTTTCATGCTGCACCTCTCTTCGCATGCTGGTGAAATGAGGCTGGGTGTGTAACTGATGATCCAGAGTTTATGAAGGGCAGGAGACAGAGGCCCTGATGCACAGACTTGGAGGGGAACAGGGAGGTATTGGGGGGATATTGAAGGTTGAGTCAAGCTTCATGATGCAATGAGGAGCTAAGAGCAGACAATGCATAGATTCTCAGTATGCAGAATGATTCATTGTGGTAATGGGCCTATGGCTCCAACCATTACACTTCAGTAGTAAATGGAAGGCTTCAATGCAGCTAATCTTACAATTGGGTCTGAGATATCGAGGAACCCATTCACCCAGTTGTCAAATGTTGATCAGGCATAAATAACGAAGGCCTGTATCAACTCTTATAAAAAGAGCTCTCCAAGTTCAGGGATGTTGATGAGGCTATTACTACACTTTTTGCACAGCCATTCATGATAGGCCAAGGACAGGTGTTCAGCATCAAAACAGTGACTGGTCACAACCTGCTATGACCAGTTGTGCCAGGCTGTAACTGGTCATGAATCCATCATGTCTGACATGTTTGATTCCTCATGCATTCTCTCTGGCTGTTGAATATGAATATATTGAGCTTCTTGTAGCTTACATGCTGATAAAGACCTGATTTAACTTTCTCATGCAACTTTGAGACCAGAATGCCCACCTGCTGCTTAAAATCTTTGTGGACTTCCCATATGCTGAAACAGATGGTGCTTGTGAGGATTCACCTGCAAGACATGGTCTTCCAGTCCCTTTAGATAGTAGTACTACAGTGTACTGTGGCAATGTTAAAGCACAATCTAGTGTTTATCCTCATTGATTTCTTACATCTGCTGGGTTGAAGAAAACACACATCACATCAGAATCTGGCTCTCAATGGTGTTCATAGCATGCCAAGGAGTATCATTCTGCACTTCAAGAACATATTTAATTGTGGCTACTGGACTCAGGTATGACTCTATCTGAGCTGTAACTGCAAGGATTGTGACCATAGTCACCTTATGGATTCAGTTGTTAACCTATATAATTCCACAAATTTACATATATGAAGACTGACTGAAAACAAGCAATTTCAGTTGTTGATAAACAGGTTTGCCCCAGCTTTTCTAGTCTGATGAATGTGGGCAGGACTAACAGTATTCCATCACAGACTCGTCGATTCAAGCTTGCTGTCACGTTCAAATTTTAAACCCATGTTCTAGCTTTTGTCACCAATGATCAACTGTTTCAGGTAGACTTACAGAAGCTTGCTGTATATCTGACTGCATGCTTACAATTGTTGTACGGGTGCATTGGAGTGAGTCTTGTGCAGAACTCCCTGACTAACAGATCAACATATATGAAGACTTCAAAGGCTTTCTGACAGTTTTCACAACCTGGATGCAGGGTTGACAGCACTCGGCACGAGAACAGGCTGAAATTACTGTCGCCTGTGAGGCTTTCCATATTTTTGGTGGTGTGAGAGTGTACATGACTTCCAGATTTTTCATCGTTCAGGCATGTGCTATAAGTACAGTCAATGTGACATATACTTGTAGAGTCTGTATCAGGGCTCTCACCTGATATCTCAGAAAGGGATCTGTTTGGCAGCTCTGTCCATACTGCAATGCTTGTGGCAGCATTCTATGATTATGCTGCAGAGGCACATGAGGATGTCTGGTATGTGTTTTTAGCATGCTTTACATGTCAGTTACTTGAATTTCTCATAGAAAAGGTGTTGATCCACATGTGTATGGCTACATGATTGCTGTCAGTGATGAGCATCAGCTAAAATATTTGAAATGGCTTCATGCATATGGCAAGCTTCATTTCAAGGTCTCCTTTCATCATGGTACCCTGATTGATGCATCATTCCAGGGTCTCTTATCTGTGAATGCTAATGACATTTCAATTTATAGGATATCATGCAAGAAACTGATGACTCTCTGCCAGTTTACTTTCCTTTTAAACCTACCTTGGTTCACTGCACATTATGCGATTCCGAGATCAACCTGGGCCCCCTTATTTTTGGGTCAGAGTGGGTGCACCTATGTAGGCAGGCAGGGCTTGATGCAGCTTGTGAAAATTCCATGAATTCCTTGACAGAGTATTTTTCATCTCAACTGCAATGTGATGCGTGTTGAAATATCAAGCCTAAGTATTGACTTACATTCTCATCTATCAGTCAGTATTTTCTTTTATGTACTTATTGTGCATTAGCACCAGTAAGACTTTTCACCCACTTCACTCATTCTGCAGGCTTCAGTCCTTCTCTCATCAAGGAACTCAAGCCCTTTAACTGTAGCATGTGTCCTCCCATCCACTCATTTTCCATCTGCCAACAGGTTATGAGCCTCACCAGCCACTACAAGATGTCACTCAGCAATCATGATTCTTCAGTCAAGATCCTCCACCTCACAGAAGATGGATTGATGCTCTATAAGAAGCAACTCAGACTTGCTATAATGGCAAAGAAGCTGGTGCAATATCTTGATGGTCATGACAAGGAGCCTGCCACACTCACAGCTCTAGGGGTGGATTCCGATGCAGATGAGATGTACGTGAATGCATATGACACATGGGCTGCTGGACATGAGGTGTCAAAATAGTTCTATACCAGATGCTACCAGAAACACTCAAACTTCAGATTATCCTGGAGAAGAAGTTGTTTGGAGCTTGAAAGGTAGTCATAGCTGAGTATGACAACTGTGGTGACTTCGTTCAGGCTGAACTACTCTGACAGATGCACACTCTCTGCTGCACCCAGGAGAAGGGCTCCTGACTGACCCTAGACAAGCTTCAGAAGCTCAAGGCTAAGTTCATGACAGCAGGCAGCATTCTTGATGACAAGCAATATCACATGCTCATTATCAGCTGCCTCCCAGAGTCCTATCACTCTGTTGTATGCATTATCCTCTTTGCTGCTCACCTGGCTTCCATCCAGGCTACTGGCACCACCATGACTCCCACTTCCACCATCACATCTAACAAACTCTTATGCTAGATCTACTCAGTTGCACATGATGAGTTTGCCCTGGATGAGTCACAGAGCACTGTGGAAGACTCTGCACTCATGACGAGGTCAGGTGGCAAGGGTGTGAGGAAGAAATGCAGCAATTGCAGCAAGCTCAGCTACCTGAAAAAGGAGTGCTGGACAAAATGTGATGAAAAAGAGGGCCAAGGGCCATGGAGCAAGAACAGGGGAAGGAAGCATGACAAGCAATCAGGGAGAGCCAGTGTGAAAGTGGTGATAACAGGCGACAATGAGACATTTGCATTCACCATTGCAACCGATTTTTTGAAGGTCGAGAGAATAAAGCTCCTGAAGCTCACTCAAATCCTCGATTCAGGTGCAAGCCATCACTTCGATCTGATATGCTCAAATTTCATACCTTCTGGGAGACTGAGTGCAAGCTGATTACTTCAGCCTATGGACAGATCTTCTATGCCACAGGTGAAGGTAATATTTGCATTGATATCATACACAAGAGAAGAGCTGTGAAGTTTACACTATGTGATATTCTCTATGTGCCAACTATGTTCTTCGCTCTCATCTCCATCAACCTAGCATTGATATGCTGTCCTCGGAGTGTGCAGAATGCAAGTCCGACATCATAGATCAAAGTCCCCACATTTATCATTTAGCTAAGTACATGAGTGGAATCAGAACAAGCTACTAGTATACATGATGTCAAGTTAGACCTAGAAGAGACCCTGTAAGTTCCCCACAATTTATCCCATCACTGGTTTTGGACCACCAGATCAACCAACTTTATCCTTAGTTCTTTTGATCCCCCTAAACCTTTCCAGATAACCATATACTCCAGGTCAGTCAGCCCACAGACTTGTAGAGTATTGTGATCATTCTCTCAATTCCTCTGTGAAAGGTCACAGTAGCTATTAAGCTCCTCTGCTATATGAACACCTATATGATTCATATGTGGAATAAAGGACATCATACTTTTAAGTCACAAGTAATGGAGGAAATGATATATGGCCGCATTGTCATCCACATGGTTTGATCAAGTTTGGTTGTAGTAATTTTCTCATGTTTTGCTCACTTTCTATAGAGCTTTCAGAATTTTCTTGCATTCATCATGTGAGGTGTGCCAGAACTTGTGTAAGTATATCATTAAGAACCACCAGTCATTTTTGCGACCAATATGAATGATCACATTCAGGTCATTCATGGAGTGGACACCAAATTTGTAGAATGATGGGGTGTGATATGAAATGTCTGAGTTGAAACAACTGCGATCTTTAAGAACAAACAACACAGAATATATGCCTGTTGGCATTGAAAGCTGCATGATGCAGTGAAGCCATGGCATCATGTTTGCACAGTGAGGGTTTGCTAGCAGGGCTAAAATATCTTAGAACTGGAGGTAAAGGTCTTGGTTGAACAGATTTTACATACCTACTGTATATCCTTCTGCTCAATACCATGACCATTTGTAATGATCAGGTTTTCAGTGTCATCAGTCTTGACATCAATGGTGTCTATGCAATTGTCACTGGCATAATGCTGCAAAATGTTAGAGACAGGCTGACAATAAACAATAAACATCATCTACCTGTATATCATAAACAAACTCGAACCACAGTGGGCACAATTTACAGTAGAAATGCCTTTTGGGATGCATCCTTGAGACAGTTGTCAGTTTAGGGTCACCTTTGTAGAGAACTTCACATGACAAAATGTGCCAGTGATCATTGTGGAGGCAGGAAGATGTAGAGAAGTGTCTGCCACAGAGGCTGCAGTGTGAATGCTCATGTGATTGGCCCTTGCTGTTACTGCCATCTACCACCTCGATAGTGTCTGCGCTAGGTGGTAAAGTTTTGAGTGATTGCACAAAGCTTTGCCACCACCACTGGCATAAACACATCATGCTATAGTCTACAGCAACTGGTCCTGATTCTTTATAATGATCTTTCCTTTCTCCTTTGGTTCTGAGTCTATGACCTTCTGCCTTTTCACTGCAGCCTGTGTCGATGCAGCAACCTCTCTGTTCTAATTGTTTTGCACCATCTTGAAAATCAACACAGCAGGATCTACTACATCATAACTGTGAGAATGGTGCTACATGAATATATGGATGATGCCAAGCATATACTGTTAATGACACCACAATGCTCTTTTAGCCCCTAATGAATGACAGAGATGACAAAGTTAGCTCACCATCAAACTTGATATGTGAAGTGATGAAGAATGACCATTTCTATGATCACTGACAACATTGAGATCTGAATGAAGTTGTAGCCAAGATGTCATAGTGATAATCACTGACAATGTTGAAATCTGAGCAAAGTTGTAGTGAAGATGTTATAGTGATAAGAAATGTCAGAGTATGCCAGTGGAAGCTCAGGTTAGAGAATTGCATGTGGATCAAGCACCATCCTGTGAAAAGCCTCTGCCCATAATGTGATGATCAGTCAACTAGAAGGGTGCCAGAAACTTTATTAATATCTGTGGCTGAATAGTGGAAATACTCATGCATAAATTCCTTACTCAGAGAGCAAGGCCATTTTCTTGGTGTCTGTGATGCAAATCATGCAGATGCAAATATCACAGTTCAGCACATGATTTGAACTTCGCAATCAATTTCACATATAAATTTTCTGTGTTGCCACAACTTTTTATGCTTCAAATGATATGTTGTTTCACCGGTGAAGGGGTCCAATTTATGCTCACACAGAGTCAATGCAGTGATGGCAGATCATCATTGATCAAGATTAGTGGCATAATCAGCAAAACCCCTCTTGGGTTTCACCCAAGATATTCATGCAATGTTTGCTCATACACATGACAGTTCCAGCAGTGAGGAATCTCAGATTTCAGAAGCTAGAGAGTCGAGGCACTAGATAGTGAAGTCAAACTGGTCACTTCAAAATATGTGATGAATGCTGCTTTAACAAGCTTCATCCCCACTGACATTGAGTCTGGTGAATATCCTCTAAAAATACCATTGATTCTATTGAACATGTACACTTAGTGCTAGTATGTACCTCCTAGCAGATGGTGGTTTATCCCAGCCAACTATGCTACATGATTGTCATAAATTTGTTTTCTTTAGCAAAGTCCGCAAAGCTCTCAAAATGCAAGCAGTTGTCTTACAAGATGTCATCTATGTTTTGTAGAAATGATGCATGAAATGGTAATGGAACAGTTTTCACTGATGTGCCAGTGTTGATATGAGCTTCATGCACAGATCACCAGTGTGGTTGAGATCTGAATAGATTTGCATCGATTTCTTGATGCCCTGGACCAGCTGCAGCATATATGAGCTTGCCTTTCATGGATGGAAAAACTCCAAGAGAGAAAGGTGCATCTTGCCAGTGAATAAAGGTGAGGTAATCAGATCACTCACCTCTTGTGTTTCCTATCATCCTATCCAGCTGATCCTTCCCATCTGATTTGTCTGAGTCATCTGCTGAGGCCCTTGGACATGATAATCCATTTGCAGTGATGTGTTTGCCAGCTGATACATGTTCGAGTTTGAAACTGAATAACTTGAGGTATGTGACCCAGCACATCATAGATGCATTTGGCAGATCCAGCTCACTGATTTGATGCAAGTACTTCACGCTGACCTCAAGATCAAAAAGTATGCTCCAAATGTGGTGATGCAACTCCTTCGTAGCTCTGAAAATGTCATATAGCTCAACCTTTAACTGTGAATAGCAGGGCTCAGTCACATTGAATGTATAAGAGCTGAATAAAACTGAACATTTCACTGATTCTTCATATTGGAACAGTACCCAGCCCATGTCATGAATCAATGAATTAACTCTGAGATGACCAATTCATTTTGAAACTCACATATTCCTGGCTGTATGCACACTATGAGTTGATAATCAAAGTTTTTGAGCACAGATGCATCTGATATGAGCTTCTTGAGCATCCATAGCTGCCTTTTGGCCCTTTCTGAAGATGAATTCTTTTTCTGTGTCTCATAACAAAAGAGTTAGTGGCTTCACAATAAGAGACAACCCTTTTATTCATCATCTAGCCACCTCTGCAGTCCCTAGAAATTCACGTACTTCTGAGATGTTCTCACATTCAGGCCATTTGATGATCTTGCTCATGAGTCTGTGATCGATCTTCCATCCTTTGAGTGATACCACCATGCCCACTACCTTGAGCTTTGACATAGCCAGTACTAGTTTGCTCCTCAACACTGTGATCTCAGCCTCGATAAAATGCCTCAGGAGTAGGTTGACTGTGGTAGTGAACTCATAGACAAATCAATGAACATTTGAATTAGAAAAAATAGTCTCATTACCATATTGAGATCGTGAACTGAGTGCATATATATTGTTGGTGAATACTGCTGTGAGTTCAGGACTCATGGGTCCAAGCACATAAGATGTGGCATGCTGAGACTCCTGCATAGCATTTGTATATCCCTGTGATAGGCAAGTGACATGCATAGGTCTGAGAAGTGAGTGGAAAGTTGTGAGGTCATGAAACCCTGCCACCAGAATGCACACATCATATTCAGATAGCAAGTCACAGAGCATATATATAGCCTGACCTATGAAATTTTTAATGAATTCATCTGCCCATGGAGAAAGTGCTGAGTCATAAATGGTAACAGCATTGAGAGATTCAAGATTGATGATCATTCATATATTCCTGTTCTTTGTCGTTATCACAAACATGTTTGTGCAATATGATGCTGAGGGATACTCATATTTCCTGGCTTATTCCTGAGAGTGAAGAGCAGACCTTACCTTATCCTCAATTGCTTTCAGAATGGGCACCAGCCAATTTACCCAGGGAATGTGGATATGTGCACCCACCACCTCTCTATGGTCTGTGATCTGGCAGTACTGTTTGCTGCATTGTGGAGTGAGATGAGTGTAAATCACTCTGCTCTATCTCTAATGAATGGGATGATACAGAGGAGTGACTGATTCTGAAGGGTGCAAGGTCCACAGGTTACTTGTGACTGACTCGAGAATGTAAAGGTGTGGTGAGTGTGTTTTGGTAGTGGATGAGGGTGTCATCTGACAGACACAGTTGATGGATGCATTACAGAAGGTTTCATTTGGATAACTGACCTTTTAACACAGGCTATGACAGAGCACTGATCCTGTTCACATGCATATTATGTTACGAAGTGTTCCCTGCTAGAACGTTCAGAACCACGTGTGCTTTCTCACACGTACTAGTCCACAACGTGGACAGAGACTCAGATACCAAATATACCTGACGTCTCCAATAGTCAGGCAGACTATTAGCAGGGTTTATAGTGTGGTCAAGCCTAGTAGACGATGTAGCAGGGAGGTCCTCACTCTACCCTTGCTAGGCCTTGGCCGCTACAGCTACTGCGCGTTCATCTGCAGGTTACTAGGTTCGCTGTTCTGACTCTAGCAAGCGTACGAGCTTACTACCTCTTGAGAGCGAGTACGATTGCATGAGGGTTCTAGAACTGAGAACGTTCAGAGTCACAGGTGGAAGAGGTTATCTTCCAGCTGCTGCTCCGCCCCTTTATATAGTCGCAGATCTATAGTCTGGGGTACTAGTACAAGGGGTCCTCTACACTGCCTCAGTGATAAAGATAGGTGAAACACACCGGAGCTTAGCTGCTGCGAACCAGGTAATTGGTGAGCTAAGAAAAGCGTAGGTAAAATACCTGAAATATGAAATGGGAACCAAAGTCCTGGATCGCAGATCCTGGGGTTAGAGTTTGAGAACCCGAGAAGCTGTCCTCGGTCACATAGTGACTAGAAGCTGTCCTCAGTCACATAGTGACTGATATCACCTGACCGTGATTGGGCGTCTCTTCTAGGTGCTTGTTCATGTAGATCACGTGACCATGAGCGATGGTACGTTTCGTAACACAAGCTTCCCTCTCCAACTGCCAAGACCTCTTGGCAATTAAACCATAAGATCCTGTCTTCTCCGTCTGGGCTTCCGCTTCGAGGAAGGAAGTATTCTTGAAATAGTATGCGTGGAGCTGTCGTGTGATTCAGCGGAGGATTCATCATTCGTGCCGATGCTTGATTGTTCCGGTGCAGGGCTGCTCAGAGACTGGTATCTCCGTTCGACTTGATCAGCCCAAGAAGTCTGATTGGCACTTGATGATTCAGAATCACTGTTGAACAGCTCGACCGTCCGTCCACTGCGATGCACTTGTGAGTTTGAGGGACTCGGAGGAGTTCCTTGCTTCGTATTGCTGCCAGTACTTGGATTCGAGGAATCAATACTGGAGTTCCATGCATAGGTTGCCTTGGGATGCTTGGGTGATAACGAATCAGGGATTCGTCCTGCATTCCATTGGTTATTTTTGTGCAGTGGTCGTGACCTTGATCAGTTACTGTTTTCGGAAGTATCGTTTGCCCGAGGTGGCTTTGGACATTCAAATGCGTGATGTCCGATACGATTGCAATTTCAACATCGACCAGAGAACTGTCCTTGTCCTGGTTGTGAACGGCGAGAGTCTTCACGAGTCCCTTTGAATGGCTGATTGATCCATTGGTTAATGGAAGGTGAAGACTGCTGGTCAGGCTTAGTCGACTGCTGCTGCTTTGTCTTCTTCTGTTTGCCTTTCTGGTTGGGACATGTCTCCATATGCCATCTGAGCATGCTGTCTGCTGAAGAGGAAGATGTAGACGATGAAGTACTTTTATCGTCATCTCCTTGCCGTCTCTTGTCAAATTTTCTTTGGACAATGACCTTGATACCACGCCATTCTTTTTGACTGAGATCGAGCGATGACATAAGCACTTCCTTCCATATTGATGTAGGGAAGGCCATCTGGTCATCGTGCGATGAATGAGTACATATGGCGCCAATCCGAATGGTGTTCATGCCAAGAATATGTTCAGACATTCGATCGATGTCCATAGGTTCCTCATTGTCTTCTTCTGCTTCCTTCTTCTTTCGATCGATATGGTGCTCTCGACTGTCGGCTCCGAGAAGAAGCTTGACAAGCTTTTCATTGACCAACTTTGTTACTAGTTGCTCAATCTGCTTTTGCATCTTTTTCGTGATCGATGGATCGTTTGAGGGTTCTTTTGATCCGCGGGATGAATCCTTTATTGATTCTTTTGATTCGATGGATGCGCGCTCATCCTTCTTCATAATTGAAGAAGTCTTCTTCTGCTTCTTCTTTGATACGGCTTGTACGGGCAGGGTTCGATCGATGTTTGGCTTCTTTGCGGGACATTGATTCATCTCGTGTTCTGGCTTTCTGCATCGATAGCACAAGCATTCCTTAATTGGATGGCTCCATACTTGTCATATTCGTCGTGCCCTGTCGACGTCCATTGCATTGGGATCATCTATCTCCATCGAGTCTCCTTCATCCATTGAATCACCCTGATTCGCATGTGTGATGAAATCGAAGATATTGCTTTTTCCCTTATGGACGGTTCGCAGGTCGTTGACTTGTCTTGCCACGTTGCAAGCATCCTCATACGTAGTTGGAGGATTAGGAGTAAGGAAGACTTTTTCTGCCAACTTTGATTCCAAGCCTCGCTTGAAATGGACGAGCTTGGTATAGTCGTCGTCGATTTCAGCATAGCGAAAGAGGATGTCGAGATTCCTGATGTAATCGTCGACCTTTCCTTTCTTCTGCCTACACTGATTGTCGAGTAGCGTTTGCCATGCTTGGTCCTTGGTTGCGACTCCCCCATACTTTTCTTGGAGCATCATCCGAAAGTCGCGATAAAGTCCTAGATCATCCGATCTTCCTGTAGATGCGATCATCGCTGCTTCCCATGATTCGACCCATTTTGCTGCTGCTGAACCTGGTTCGAAGTGGGATAGGATGAACGTTATCTGACTATAGTCGTCGTCGTATATGTGGATATTTGCTTGGAGATGTCGTTCTCCAGCCTGGAGGAATGACGTAAACATTCGCTTATCTCCTGCGAACAGTCGGATCTTTCCTAGCTGTAATTCCTCTTTTTCCAATTCTGGTTGTGCAGAATTATACAGCGCGTAGAGATTCATTTCCATGAGATATTCCTGCCACTGGAATTCCAGACATGTCAGTCCTGGATGCACTGGTGGTCCACTAGCTGGATCGTACCGTGCTTTGATGGGATTTTGACCAGTAGTTCCCAAACTACCTGTTTGTGCCATGGCCGACTGTGGCCTTATTGGTACTCTGAGTGGCGTTACTGGCCTTCCTCCTTCCGAGGCTGTCCTGGTTAAAGGTGTCATCCTGACTCCTTTCCATAATCCTAACCCATCGTAGGGCTTCTTGGATGTTGGCGTAACGCTGGAGTCGCCACTCCTTAGTGAACTTGGATTGATGCCGAGAGGATTCCATTCCTCCCGTCCTTTACCCTTGCCTGATCCTTCAGCGTCCTCTGGCCTTGGATCAACTTGTATCGATTCTCCTCTAGGAAGGTCCGTATGCGCTAGGAATTCGTCCTCGAAGTCCTTTGTGATGTCCTTCCTATTGTTGATTACCCGTTGAATTTCTTCAACGTCATGTTCAAGCTCTCGGAGCTCCTGCTGTTCTTCTGGGGTTGTAAGGTTCTCCAGCCGTTGTCGTCTTCACAATGCAATGGCTCGCGTATTCCTGACATCTGTGAACCAATCCAATTCTTCATTGGTTGCATCGTTCCATGACAATGGCGTCATGTGTCCTTTGCCTCCTGGATAGCCTACCGGCTCATCTCCAGAGTCCGATTCGGATCCTTTGCTTTCGCGATACGACATTTTGCCTTTTCTTGGTTCTTTAACCAATTGTTTGTCGATCGCACGGGTCCGCGTCTGCACACAGTATTCTTCTGGATAGTCACACAAACTACCGCTAGTTCCTTGAATCTTCTTGACTCCGAATTGCCTTCCCTGGGAAGGGCTTTAGCACATCTTCAAGGTGTGCCTCAGATGAGGGCTTCTCTTCTGGATTACCACACAGGTAACCGCTAGTGCTTGAGTTCGATAAACACACAGATTTGATTGAGCCACACAGGTTCGTGGGTGACCACACAGGTTCCCCTTCCTTGTCGTACCAAGGTAACCACACAGGTCCTGGAAGTGACCACACAGGTCTTGATTCTCCTGTAGCGTCCAAGTAGACCCCACTTCTTGTAAGTGGTTCTAAACCTAAACAGGTTGACCTATAGAAAAACCTCTTCCAAATGTTATGAAGCGTTCCCTGCTAGAACGTTCAGAACCACGTGTGCTTTCTCACACGTACTAGTCCACAACGTGGACAGAGACTTAGATACCAAATATATCTGACGTCTCCAATAGTCAGGCAGACTATTAGCAGGGTTTATAGTGTGGTCAAGCCTAGTAGACGATGTAGCAGGGAGGTCCTCACTCTACCCTTGCTAGGCCTTGGCCGCTACAGCTACTGCGCGTTCACCTGCAGGTTACTAGGTTCGCTGTTCTGACTCTAGCAAGTGTACGAGCTTACTACCTCTTGAGAGCGAGTACGATTGCATGAGGGTTCTAGAACTGAGAACGTTCAGAGTCACAGGTGGAAGAGGTTATCTTCCAGCTGCTGCTCCACCCCTTTATATAGTCGCAGACCTATAGTCTGGGGTACTAGTACAAGGGGTCCTCTACACTGCCTCAGTGATAAAGATAGGTGAAACACACCGGAGCTTAGCTGCTGCGAACCAGGTAATTGGTGAGCTAAGAAAAGCGTAGGTAAAATACCTGAAATATGAAATGGGAACCAAAGTCCTGGATCGCAGATCCTGGGGTTAGAGTTTGAGAACCCGAGAAGCTGTCCTCGGTCACATAGTGACTAGAAGCTGTCCTCAGTCACATAGTGACTGATATCACCTGACCGTGATTGGGCGTCTCTTCTAGGTGCTTGTTCATGTAGATCACGTGACCATGAGCGACGGTACGTTTCGTAACATATTACCACTTTTGGTGATGAGTGTCCCATGTTATATTAGCTAGATGCTTTGAATTGATCACGTAAGTGACTTCAACACCTAGTTCATGATCATAAGTGTCATATGGCACTACTGGTTTGATCACAAATGGGATGGGCATTTAAGCTTTTGATTGCAGGTGGCATTCTGTGCTAACAAATTGATCACAGATGTGGCTGAGCAACTAAAACTTGATCACAAATGCCATCTTGAGCACCTAATTTGTGCTCATGAAAAGAAATGTCCTAACTCAGTGTTCTTTGACCTGTGCTTAATACTCCTGGGTTCTTGTCCATCTGGTATGTTTGCAAGGTTTGTTTCTTCTGCAAAGTACCTTCTAATACTTCTTATGCTTCCTATAGATGCCTGTTAACTGACAAGATGGGCTGTGATAACCATATCAGACCTAAGTGGTTGCCTATATCTCTAGACTTGTTGTTCAGAAGTTTTGCAATGTATAATTTGTGAAGGCAGAGTTTGTGATGGTCAGCAGACAGTAAAGCTTTAAGTGCAGTGTCCAAAGATAATAAGATTGAGCTATATAGAGTAGAGTGATGAGACTGAGATTAGTGTAAATGGGTCTCCTGCTGTCTGACTATTGTATATTGCAAGTTATAACCAGGGTTTATATATTACAGTGGACAGCTCATTGCTGAACTGCTCATTACCATGAAAAATATCTAAAATGACTTCTAGTAGCTGCATATGTATCTGAAACATGTTTGAAGAACTGTCTCACTTATGCCTAAATGTCTGGCCTACCCTTGAGTTTCTTCTGCCAAATGACATGTTCATTTTCCCAGTCCTTTCATTCTCTCAGACTCATATCCTTGCCTGACCCTTGACTAACTCCATCAGTCTCAGTTGTTAATTTGAAGCTTTGTTCTGAAACTTCTGTCACCTCATATTTGTCACAAACTGTAATATTCCACATTTTCTAAGTGCTCACTTCATGATCACATAATCATACATGTGCATATCTTAAGTGCTCATATCATGAGCACATATCACATAATCACATCACATGCAGAAATTCTGTGCACATATCACATGCACACGTCACAAGACAGGTACTAACTATTCTGCCTGATAGATAAGGCACCATATCCGAAGACTAAGATCTGGTCGCTTATCCTCCAATAGAATAAGCTCCTACGACATCGTGAGAGATGGAGCTTCACTACCTGAGAAGGTAGTCCTATAGTTAGAGTAGTTATAGTCAGGAGGCATGACCACCTGACCCTGTAGCCACATGGCAAGGTCTCATGATAGTGTCATACGACTTCATAGATTAATGCTATTGGCTTATCTCAAGATAGCTCACAGGTAACACTGAGCTTCACCTATCTTTAGACTGTATGCTGAGTCACCATTCACATGGACCCACTGTAGGTGTGTCCATGAATCTGGTAGATAGTGTATCAGGGGTCTGACCCTGCTTGTATATATACTGAGGCTGTCTGGGTCTACATTTTCAGACTTATCTACCTTCATCAATACTCGATACACCTGACTGCTACTGCGACTTTTCCTACAAGTCCAGTATGCCTCTTATAGTCTGTGACACCTCACACTTCGACTTACAGTATTCATATAAACAAGTAAGACTTCAGACTTTGCCTCATATTAGGGTCTTCGTGACAGTATTGAATGCATTTTGTGATGTCAGTGGAGATGACCATGAGTGGGAAGGAAAGGCCATTTTCATTCAGCTTCCATGCTCAGCCTCTGCTCATGCTCATCAATGTGTTTCACTCTCATAGTCTGAGAAGTGTTTGTGAGAAAATGTGCCTCACTCTGAGTCAATCAGGCAATTGCCTGCTGATTGATATTGATAACATGAACCAAGAGAGCCACTTTCACTGAAAAATAGAAATCCATCAGGAACTGTAGCCAGAATTGCATCAAGATGCTCTTAAGTGAGACACATAGTTGAAACAAAATCAGAAAGGGATGGTAGATGAGTAGATAGAGAAGAAACACCTGAGATTTCGCTTGAAATGAACATCTGAATCTGCAGATTTGGCATGTAGGCTCAAACAGGCCAAAGCTTGCAATGTACCAGTTTGTACCACTTGCCCATGTACTAAGTCTATAATGCATTTATAAATGCCCTAAGTATCCAATGAGAGTTGAGATGAGATGTTGAAGCAGGTAATTATAAGAAAGAGTATGAAGCAAGGAGTCGTATAATTTTAGAGGATGTAACTGTGAGAGAAAAATGATGTCATTATCTGAAGTCACTGATAGAAGTCCTTGAAGAGAAAAAAAAGTCTGTCTGACCAACAAAACATAGTCAGCCCCTTTCTAAGCTAGAGGAGTCAACTTAGAATAAGTCATGGAGGTCTCAGAGCTCGAATCCAGCATTGACATTTAAGGTAGATGCTATGACCAGCCTGTCTATGTTATGATGGTGTGAGAATCTGACAACTTGGGCTTTGACAGGCTCTTGTGCAGGATTGTCAAAGGGGTATGTGCTGAGCTCGACAGATCCACCATATCAATATTTGATGTGAATCCAGAACCACTGAAGCCAGGGCTGTTCCAGAATTCCATCATGGCTGCCATATTTCTATAATTCAACAAAGAAGTGATGGTCAAAATGTTCTCCTCCAATCTTGATAGACACATTTCTGCAGCAGCTGAGGAGATGGACTAATTTGTCACTGATTCCTTTAAGTGACCAGCAAAAGCTGTCAGAATTGAGCTCAACTCCTGCTTAATCATATACCTGTGTGCAGCTCAAGTTAAGCTCAGAGCCTGAGTTAACCAGGAACCTTGATCTTGAACTTTCCTTGAACTGTTGTTTCACAGGCCATCATGAAGAGATGCTTGAGTTCTATAGTGATCATGCTCACATAGTGATGAAGAATATTCATCACTTATCTGTAGTTTCACACATCAGATATGCCAGCCCCAGTGAGTGGCCTTTCTCATCTTCAGCTCCTGCTCAATTCAGTTTCTCATGCTCATCTTCTAGTTTGACCATCAATGTCTGAGTATCCAGTGTCATAATCTCCTCTAGGACCTTATCTTCTGCTGCACAAATAGCTGCTTCTCAATCCAAGCATGTAAGCCCCATCATGTGCTTCTGTAACCTGGAAAAACTCTCAACAGAGCTTGCAGAGGTAAAGACACCTCTGTATTCATGCCTGGTCCTCACCTATCAATATGCTGTCTTGAATCTGCAATGTAAAATGATGTCCAGACCCTTTAGGTCTGAACCACTTGTTAATCTCACCCATCTTCTTCTTTTCTGCTCTAGATTTCTCCACCTGTCTCCATCCAGCCTCTGTATTGCTAGGATGAGGTGAGAATGACAGCCTCTTTTGCTTTAAGTCTGATCTGCTCTGAATTCTGGTGAACCTTGTAGAACTCGCAGGCTGCTAGACTCTGGTTGACTTGGGCTGTCCTCCTTTACTCACCACAACATCCCCATCTTTATGCTCAAAATCAAAATGAACTGCCTTTTAGATCTTATTCTCATGATCCAATTTGACTGTGGCTTTTGCCTTAAATTGAGTCGTAACCAGAAATGAGTACAAATCCTCTGATGAGACCACAAACACATTGCCTTGGATCGCATCATGACCCTCTCACATCAACCTGACTGTTTGACAAATGCCAGACTGATGTGGTGGCAGATCATGCTCATGATTCTTTCCATGCACATGCATTTTCAATTGAATAAATTTTCCCCTTTCCAGGGAATCTAGGAAGGCCAGTGCCATCCCACTGCACAATTCTCCCCTCAGCAGAATATTTCAGAAGGCCTTCTCAGATCAATACCACAGTCTCTGAGCATTTTTGCATAGCTAGTGAATGGTCCAAGTTGACCCCCTTGATCTTTCTACACATATAACATGACTTTTGCTTGTCCGTATTCACATGAATCATGTAACTGTCCATGCTCTGAAACTGAGGCCTGAACAATTGAAGCAGTCTTCATAGAAGTGGACTGTGTGACAGTGATTCTAAGCTGTTTCATCTCCTCCTTGAGCTCTGAGACAGAGGATTTCTCTGCCTTGACATCAGAGCTTTGTTTTGCCTTTCTTTTGCTCTTCTCCCTCTTTTTCTTCTTTCTCTTTTCATGATGTTTCTGCCAATCATTATCATCTGAAATGTCAGACTCTGAACCTGAAGATGAAGAACTTGGTCTCTTTTGATGAGATCTCATTTTCTTACACTCTTCATCCCCTGAGCTATCCATGTCTGAGCTCGATGATGACATCTGCACTGTGCTCTTTCTCTTAGAATGCCTCTTTTTCTTTCTGTCCTGCTCTGACTCTGTATCCTCAGATTGATAGTCAATATCATGAACGTTGCACCACTTTCTTGCCTCACAATCACCTTGTTGATCAGCAGAGGCACAGATAGGATCAACTGGCATCCCAACTCCTTCTTAAGATTGTCTTTAATCCACTCTCACAATGTCTCTGGCAGACCCTTGTAAAACAATGCATCATGCTCCTCTTCTATGATAAGCTTTTTATCTACTTGGTCATCCACTTTACAGTCAAATCCGCTAGATGTATTTTCAAGAGTACACTAAGACCTGATCATCTCATCACCACTGGCCTGCTTTAAAAAGCATTTAAGCCCTTCTGCTGATATCCTTTGCTTCCCATCTGAATATGAATGAAATACTCAAGGTGTGCTCTCACCTTGTCCCAATCTCTAGCCATAGAGCTGAATGCCATCTCATACTTCATTGTTCTGAAAACATCACCTGAGCAGTAGTGCATAATGTGACTGGGAAGGTCTGCTTTATCAATCTCAGCAGCCTTCACCACTGCCTTCAATGTAGCAATGAACTCTGATAGACATTTTTCTTTGAACTCGGGTGCCTCTCCCACTCCTGGCAAGGGCATTGGGACTTGAATAAATGAAGAAGACATTGTAACAGAAATCACAGAATTACTTAGTAATGCTTCAGCTGCAGCACCCAATGATTCAGGCATAGGTTGCATAAACACTGAATAAACTTGATGTGAAGGTTCTTCCCTGGAAATTGTTCCTCTTTGCAATCTCCTCATGGGTCATAGACCTTAAGACTTGAGTAGATGCTGCTACAAAGATTCAGCTTCATGGCCATCTGTTGATAGGGGCCATCGGTTTGGCCCCGTGGAGCCATCTTCTAGAGAGCGGGCGACTCCCGAACTCCTGGCCGTGCAGCGGGCTGGCTGGGAAAGTCAACATATGCCTGCATTGTTTCACATCGCATAAGCAGGTTTCTACCACAATGAAGCTCACCTCGGGTGTAGAAGAGTTGAGCTCTCCCTGTATTCGCCCTCAGGATGTGGACGATGAAGCAGCGGCGGCGGCAAAGTCTAACGATGCGTTGCATGTGTTGAACGTCGTCAAGGCGTACGGCAACCCGGGGTATAAACTCGTGGATGATGTGAGCTTTGGCGTGCCCCAGAACACGATCTCTGCGCTTCCTGGCCCGAACGCTGTGGGCTGACATTGCATAGCGTTATGACCTGGAATTGCTCTGCAGGTGGTGACGTGATCCCGATTCCCGAATGAAGGAGACGTACTGATCAACGATGTTTCTGTCGTTACTCAACCACGAGTGGCATGCCTTTACTCGGAGTCTATCCACAGTCCGCAAATTACCGCGATAGGTACTGCGTTGACAGTCAGGGAACATCCGAAAATCTACGAACGTCTCGAGGGGTTACATCGAGGCGAAGAGCTGCAACACAACTTCCACGTGTTGATGCTTGCTACTTCGCTAGATATGTATGCAGACCGTTTGGCTACAAGCCTATCCGGTGGCAACCAATGCAAGCTGGCATTGGCAATTGCTCTGATCGTACCTGACTTCTTCATGTGTGTGTGATTTGCGCTGATTGTCCTGCAGGTTACCCATCGGTGGTTCTCGTCGATGAGCTCTCCACCGGTATCGATGCGAAAATGAAGCGCGATATGTGGGGCACGTTGAGGACTGTGGCAAGAGGGAAGGCTATTGTGATCACAACACGTACGTAACGGTTGTTATATCCGTGGGTAGTCAGCTCTCACGGTTGTTCCTGACAGATTCTATTGAGGAAGCGTCTGCTCTCGCCAACAAGGTCAGAATCTTGGCTAAGAAGACGCTTGGTGAGTAGTGGTGCTCCCACTTTGCTGCATTGCAGCTGATAAGTCATAGCCGTGAGAACAGCCGACTCTTTGGCGGAGCGTTATGCAACGTATGAAGTCCATTTCTCCTGCTGCAGTCGGGAGGAGGTGGTCCTTGCCGAAGAGCTCATGGCCCAGGTCCCTGGCGCGCGTATGGCGGACGACGTAGCAACGCGTTTCGAGGTCCCCATAGGACATGGGATGTCGCTGGCAAAGCTATTCGGCATACTCTCGCCACAGAAGGACTTCGAGGATACAGTGGAGAGAGCGACGCTTGAGAGCGTGTTCCTGAAGATGATCAGGGAGAACGACGTCCTTGAGGAGGACACGGCATCGCGGACGCGAAGCCAGTAAATTCCGCAGTCATTCACTTCAGCACGATGGCAGACGATGGCATAGTCCGGATCAGTCTTCAATTGTACAACACCTACTAGTTAACTCTCTAGTAATTGGACAATACATTTTCCACTTGTCGTTCGTGTTCACCAGAAAGTCTCTAGACCTGCAAAGTACATGAGCTGTACCTATACCGTTTATCTGCTAGCACACCTTGTACTAGAGCAAATAGCGGCTCTGCCAAACATTATAGTGCATCAATAGTAATTGAAGCGGTTCGGTAGCGATGCTGGAGTGAAGGCTGTGCATCCCACGAGTTGTTGACGCGTTGTTTGGCTTGACGTCAGGTATGTGCGCTTAGAGGTTCCGTCCCTCTCGAGCGTCCGTCACTGAGAAGGGACCTGACCAGACTCTTTTCCTACCGAAAGAAAAGCTCGAAATTGAGCCTGTACTAACATTCTTGAAATATTCACCTTTCAACTTGAGCACTGAGAGTACTGAGCTCGAAGCTTCGAACCTCTCGCAAGGTAGCTGTTCGCTTTTATGTTGATTAAAACATGGTTACTGACTTGATCGCGAGCAACTACGTGCCGGGATATCTCGGTTTGCTTCACATGCCGGACATTCGTGAGATTGTGTCCGCGTCCATAGTAGCCATCACTGTCGAGAATTAACCTTGTACGACATCGGCCATCGGATGAAGATTGCGTAACACAGCAAGTGACTCCGTTCACCGTGAATCCTAGCGAGAGCTCTTCGACCTACCACGACAGTCTGGAGCCAGAGCCTCCTGGCTGCTTATTCTCGATTGCTCTTGCCACGCTGTCAGCCTTGGCACCGGAACAGTATTGAGTCCGTCCGCAAGATCCTCTCACTCACGGGCGGCTCGAGGATCCTCCGAGGCCGCTGCGGTACAGATTTAGCACCCGTCATACACACTAATTTGTCTCCATTCGTGCATAACTTGACCCCCGAGGAGTTAAATACATTCCGACCACCATCTTCCCTTCTGCCTTGCCGCAGATCGCGGAACGCAGCGTTGACGCTGCGCCTACCATATCTGCTTATAAGCTAGCTCTGCCGGTGAAGCGTACGCAACGATGGTCCACCGTCTTTTCTGGAGACAGTTCACGGCGTTGGTCTGGAAGAACTGGATAGTGCTCTCGAAGCATCCTTGGGTACGCTGACTGTTCTTAGAGAAAGGCTGCTGATGTTCTGACCTTCAGTTAGCTTAACGTTCTTCGATGTATTATTCTTCCCATTGCATACGGCATATTCCTCGCAGTCGCACAGCTCTTCCTCGTCAAGCCAAACAACGTATGCCCCCTACGTCGCTGACCGCTGGATTCTATTAAGCCTCATCTGTTTCCTAGTACGGCCTAGGAACTGCTATCACCGTGCCGCGCCTCGCTGATCAATATGACGGCTCGTTGGCGCTCGTGTGGGCAGATGGCACAGATGGCAGTGGCTCGCCATCCTCGACCGATATCATATCGCACATAACTAGTAGCTTCGACTCCAAGCAACTAAGCAATGTCAAGAAGGCGGACTCCCCAGACGATGTCCCTTCGCTATGCCCGGAGAATTTCAACGGCTACTCCGAATGCTACGCTGCAGTGGTCTTCAACTCGCTGCCCGGATCTAGTGGGAATGCAAGTGCTGCGGCGCAATACAACTACACGCTTCGGGCGGACTCAGGACTATACTATGTGAACGTAGAACAGCACACAAGCAGCTACGAAGAGCGTGTGCTGCCGTTGCAATGGGCAATAGACAGCGCGATCATTGAACTGACTACGGATACCTCTCCTTCAACTCCTCTAGAGTGGCCTTTCACGCAGGAGACGAACAGCGAGCAAAGCACCAGCATCCGCCTGAGCTATATCAGGGGACTCCGCACCTTACTTGTCCTGGCACTACTCATATGTTACATCGGTATTGCCTACCAGCTCCCCGGATCCTTCATGAACGAACGCGCAACGCAACTCACGAGCCATATGAAGGCGATGGGCTTGATGGACTCCGCGCGCATCGTTTCCTGGCATGTCAGCATTTCACTCGTCTATCTCCCCGCATGGATCATCGTCTCCGTGATCTGGCACTATCGCATCTTCACCGGCACGAACGGCGGGCTCGTCTTCGTTATCCATCTCCTGCTGGGCCTCTCCCTCGCAAGCTGGTCGTTTTTCGTGTCTGTTCCGTTCGGTAAGAGCCCGCAACTTGCGGCGATCGCGTCCACGGTGCTCGCGATTGTATTCGCCATCCTCGCGCTCGTGGACGAGCATGTGAGCACCGGGGCCGCGTTCTTTTTCTCGCTGTTCTTCCCCCCTGGCTTCTACATCTTCGCAATCCGCGCTGTCTGCGGCTTTGAGGTACATCAGATCCCCACAAGCGTCACCCGGCCTGACCCTGACAACCATCTGACCCTTCTCCCCTTGATCATTGCTGCCATCGTGAGTCGGTTCTCTGTGATGAAGAGACTGTCACTGACATCATGATTTCTGCAAGATTGACGTGTTCCTATGGCCGTGGATGGCCGTGTTGCTGGAGAGAAGGCTGTACGGTGCACATAATCCATCGACATCCTCCCGGCGATTCTGGAGAAAGCGAACACCAGCGACTGAAGAGGGCTCGCCGGTAGTGCCGCCCGGCATTGCTATCTCCATTCGGAACCTAGGAAAGGACTTCAAGACATCGCTATTCAAGCGCGACAAAGGGCTGGTCACTGCAATAGCGGACCTGAGCCTTGACATTCCCAAGACGGGTATCTACGTCTTGCTTGGGTCAAATGGGTAAGCATGTGGAGGTGACATCGCATATAGGGTCCGCTGATGTTCGCCATACAGAGCGGGCAAGTCGACGACGATGTCCATCTTGGCAGGACTTTTGGGTCGCACACGAGGCACAGTGCTGTTCGAGGGCGGGGTTGAGCGCCCTCCTCTAGGAACGATAGGCCTCGTACCACAGAAGAATGTCTTGTTCCCTGAGCTGACGTGCTACCAGACACTCCGCTTGTGGAGAGCGATCAAGCCGCTGAGCAATTCATCCGACGATGAGGATATCGAACAATTGCTGCGTGATTGTGATCTCGGTAAGAAGATCCACTATAATGCGAATGCGCTTAGTGGTGGGCAGAAGCGCAAGCTGCAGCTGGCAGCTGGGTTGGTGGGAGGCTCAAAGAGTATGTATTGTTTTATCTGCTCTTCTACCAGAATCATAGCTGATCTGTCATTCGACTTCGTAGTCCTCCTGGTGGATGAGGTCAGTCATGACTAGGTGATACGTATACCTCAACGCTGACACAAATGCTAGTGCACTTCCGGCGTGGATCCACTGTCTCGTCGTGCCCTCTGGCGAACCCTGACATCCGTGCGTCATGAGAGAACGATTGTCTTCACCACGCATGTACGTTCATCTTATTCGATATTGTGACCACGAACTAATACTGCATGATTAGTTCCTCGACGAAGCTGATCTCTTGGCGGACACGATCGCGGTGCTTGCGGCTCCTGGGAGATTGGTGGCACAAGGCACGCCGGTTGCGCTCAAGTCCGAGTTTGGCGAAGGCTACACTGTGCAAGTATCCTCCAACGTGGCCGAGCCCTCCGAGAAGATGTCCATTAACTCTGCGGAACTCCTCGATCATGTCCGCCGTCTGGCCCCGTCCGCCTACATCACCTCTTCCTCGCCCAATGAAGTATCCTATCATCTCAAAGCGAAGGACCCAGAAGTCGTACACAGGGTGCTGGAGTTGCTGGAGGTGGAACGAGAGGCAGACCGCGTCGGTTCCTACTCCGTGCAGAGCACCTCGATCGAGGACATATTCTTGGGCCTCATGCACAGCAATGTTGACAGTCAAAGCGAGAAGGCGGAGAAGGGATCAGAAACGCTGCTTCCAGTCCTCTCCAATGGCAGCCAACCTCCATTGGAGCTGACTAACGGCCGCAAGAGGTCGCCTTTAGGCCAGGCGTTCACGATCTTCCACAAGCGACTGCTGGTCGCAAAACGGAGCTGGCTCACACCGCTGCTTTTAGTCCTAGTTGCTGTAGCGGGTTCCTGCGTCCCCTTGTTCTTCATATCCGGCCGACCTGCTCAAACTTGCGTGCAGAAGTTCGGAATCGTCGCGAGCATACCGCTGTATGCGCCGTACTCGCCTGTAGTGCTGGAGCAAGCATCCTACAATGCCTCTGGCGATCAGATACTGGTATCTCCTCCCGGGCTTCTATCAACGCTGGGTCCGACTACGGAATTAGTGCCGGTATACAACATCAGTAACAATGCTACCTTCGTCAGCACGATCAATCAGAACTTCCAGAACCTCACTCTCGGAGGGATCTCGGTAGACTTGGAGACTGGGTCGGCACTCGTTGCTTGGGAGGCAACGCCGCCGGGGTATACTGGGCTCGTCATGCTCAATCTCGCGTCCAATCTCCTGTTTAACCACGCTCTCAACACATCGGGGAAGGGTACTGAGGTCCCACAGCTTATCACGGCTAACTTCCAGCCCTTTCCCGGCTTTGATGCAGGCACTCTGGTGGCTCTAAAGTGGGTGGCGTTCTACGGTGCTGCTATGGTGCGTATCCTTGACATATTGTGGCATTTCGTCTGTATCGAATGTTTCCTGTAGTCTGTCTTCCCAGCATTCTTCTCGCTATACGTATCGAAAGAACGGCGGTCCTCCGTGCAAGCCATGCAGCTGTCCAATGGTTTGTCAAATCCCGTGGGCCTGTGGCTGGGGCACCTCATGTTCGACTCCATGTTCTCTATCATTATCTCGAGCGTCATGGTGATCGTGTTTGCCGCCGCATCCAATCAGTTTGCTGGACTCGGGCTATTCGTGAGTTGCACAGAACGCTCACCTTGGAATCCCTCGATTGCTCATCGTCACTTCAGTGGGTGGTGCTCTTCCTGTATGGGATCGTCGGAGCGTTGTTCTCCTATTGTGTTTCGCTGGCGGTCACCTCCCCGCTCGCAGCATTTGCAGCATCAGCTGGGTACCAAGTTGTGATGTTCATCGTAAGCAGTCATTTTCAAAGCCGCGTCAATTCGATGTTTTACTTCGTCTTTCTAGCTTTATTTAGCCGCCTTCCTCCTGACTATGACCTACGCCAAGGTCTCGAATGATTCGCGCGATCTCAGTATCATCCGTACGCGACTATACCTCATCGGCTAGGTTGTCCGCTTATACTGCTTTGCTCAGATTATACCATGTCCGTTGGATCGCCTGTCGCGAGTGCTGTACGTGACTCCGTTCGTGATGTTCTTGCGCTCTGCTCACTGCCCAATCCCCAGTTGCAAGCTGCATTTGTGTCGGTGAATCTCTTCTCCTTGCTCTGTGACGGCGAGCAGCCTGTTACCACGGCATCCATTGGAAAGCTCTCCCGATTCGGAGGACCGATTCTGTATCTTATCGTCTATGCCTTCGTGCTGTTCGGCATCCTGGTCTGGGTGGACTCCGGCTCTATACTACCTCGCCGGTTTGCATCGCACAAGCGGGATGGAGCCGTGGCTGGACGTATCGGACGGCAGGACGCGGACGATGAGGCAGTGGCGGTTGCGAAGTCGAACGACGCACTGCGTGTACTTAGCGTGGTCAAGGCGTTCGGGAGCTCCGATAATAGAGTTGTGGACAATGTCAGCTTTGGCGTGTCCCAGGATACGATCTTCGCTCTCCTTGGGCCGAACGGGGCTGGCAAGACAACGATGTTCAACATGATTCGTATGTGCCAATATGTGCATGTACGCGCGTGCCCTCATAACCTTTCTCCTCTCATGTAGGCGGCGATGTAATTCCAGATGAGGGAGATGTACTCATCAACGGCGTCTCAGTTGTCACTCATCCACGAGCAGCTCGGCTCTCCCTTGGAGTCTGCCCCCAGTTCACTGCAATAGACTCTGAACTAACCGTGGAGGAGCATCTGATGATCTACGGACGTCTCAAGGGCTTGTACCGTGGCGAGGAACTGAAGCGCAATGTTCAAGCGCTGATGAATGCCACCTCGCTTGACATATATGCGGGTCGTCTGGCGATTCGTTTATCCGGAGGGAACCAACGCAAGCTTGCTTTAGCTATTGCCTTGATCGGTTCGCCCTATCCTAATGTGATCAATATCTGTACTAACTGTTCGGCAGGCAATCCATCGGTGGTACTCATCGACGAATTCTCCACCGGTATTGATGCCAAGATGAAGCGTGATATGTGGGGCACGCTGAGAACTGTGGCCGTAGGGAAAGCCATTGTGATCACCACCCGTATGTGAACTCTTGGCTTCCTACGCGGTCGTCCGTATCTCACGATCCTGTGTACCAGATTCCATGGAGGAGGCATCTGCACTGGCCAATAAAGTCGGCATTCTGGCTAAGAAGATGCTCGGTGAGTAAACTGCTACTACAGAGTTTCCGCACCTGACGAGTATGCTCTTGCAGCGGTTGGGACCACGGATGCCTTGGCCGAGCGCTACGCAACCTACGAGGTCCATTTCTCCTGCCGTAGTCGAGAAGAGGTGACTCGCGCTCAGGAACTGATGGTTCAAATCCCGGGTGCTCGTATGGCAGACGACGTCGCAACACGCTTCGAGGTCCCCATAGGAGGCGGAATGTCATTAGCGCATCTCTTCGGTGTGCTTTCGTCCCAAGACGACTTCTCAGAGTATACTGTAGAGAGAGCCACACTGGAAAGCGTTTTCCTGAAGGTCATCAGGGAGAATGACATTCTAGAGGAGGACAGTACATTGAAAAGACGGAGATGGTGGAGATCTTGCTAAACTCAACAAATGCGGATGTGAAGTTCGAACATTGCGTCACTATTTGGATGTTAGATACTTAAGGGACTTTCTACCGTACTTCTCTCTACTGTGTCTGTTTGTAATTGACCATGTCCTCCGGACATCGTTAGATACCAATCATCATAGACACTTTCATTTAGTAGCAATGTACGTCTGCTACTAGTTAGTTCAGTCTTTAAGACGCTGTAGTATCCAGGCATGATGAACCTGCGATGCTATGGGCAGGCCAAAGCTAACTGAGTTCGGCTGCCGTAGTAGGTAGCTCGAGAGCGAGCCGTTATTAGGGGGGCATTAGCGAGAGAATCGCTTGGCTGGATATACACCACCAACGATGCCACCGACGTTCGAAAATTTGACGTCCCTGACCTGATCTCACATTCCGACTTTGGAGAGCGTCTCACTTGCGTGCACGCTCTTTCCTGTGTTCTACCAACTGTCTTGATCCTCTCCAACCTTAATTTAAAGCGTAAACGCACATTCAGTGCAATCATTATGTCTCAGAAACTCGCCGACGCCGCTGTGGAAGGCGCAGAAGAGGGTGAGGATTCTTCGCGGAAACCATGGCAATGAGGTCTGATAAAGAGATGCATAGAGCAAGAGGAGAGTGATGAATATGATGACTTCGAAGAGGTATGCTTTCTGTCAGACTTTTTTGTTTCAAAAATTAGATCGTCTCCTTGCTACAAGGAGGTCGAGTACATCGAGGAAGAAGACCATGAGGAATATGATGAAGAAGCCGGTCCCGTACGTGTTCCATGCCTTCTAATAATGATAGCAGTGTTTTGATGCATTTACGAACGACGCAGAGCGGACAGGGATCTACCTTAACGGCGTTGTTGCTCGGCGAGGTGAGCATCCCCAAATTCCATACATGTAAAAAAATTGAGAACACTCTCTGCAGGGTGATGAGGCAGACGGAGAAGAAGACGAGGAGGAAGACGAGGAAGACGACGAGGAATATCAGGAGGGTGAAGATGAGGAGGAAGCTGAGCCTACGTCCCCCGCAATTAGCTTCGCAGGAACAAAGCGCAGTCGAGACGAAGACGAAGAGAAGCCGAGCTCGAATACATCTGGCGAGGAGCTCCAAGACGACTATGGAGAGGTGGATGAAAACAATGAGATTGTCACGAAGAGGGCCAGAACTTCGCAGGAGGAAGAAGAGCCTGAGGAAGAGGAAGAGGCTTGAGCTTGTCATGATTCACAAGTGTTTGTTATTTTTAACTAATTGTTCTTCCTCTCGTTGTATGGACCGATGAACAGTACTCGTGCAATGTATTATCCGGTGGTCACTAGTGCAACATACATTCCGATCCAATCATTGCAAATCCTGCGACCCTGCAACATGCTTCACAAGTCAATTGCGGAAAACCTTGGCAAGATACCGTTCGAGACCACTCGCATCTCGGACGAATGCACCGACCATCCAATCCTGGCGGACGACAACGCACATGAACTCATCTCCGATGAAGTAGTGCTTGAAGGCGTAGCCGTCACGATCATAGACAACACGTATTCCGGCTGCCGACCTCGGGTTCCTATCCTGAGAAAGTAGTACCGTCTGGAAGTCGTGAGCCTTGGTTGCCTCGATGATAGCATTGATCTCAGGCCTGTCTGTGGAAGCTCCCTTACTGTGTGGGACGAAGACCAGCACGGTATGCACATTTGGCTTGAAGAGGTTGAAGAGCGAAATCTCCTTTCCCGTCTCGGAGACCAGCCCTGGCGCCTCCGGAGCACGGTCCCCAGCCCTGAGGCTGCTCGCGTATCCCTCGTATCCACGAGCCTTCATGTCTTCTTCGTTCGGGCTGCTTGTGTCTCTCTCATCCAAAACGATGCTGCTCCAGCGATAATTGACACCATAAAGGAGGAGTGCATTGTTTCGCCACCGGAACCAACCAGACTTCTTGTCGTCTTCCGCGGCCTCGTCTGCCGTGCTCTTCTTTGCGACGGCGTGAGTATACAGCGCAGTCGTGGCATGAAGCATTTGCGTGATTACGGGAAGACGCTCCTCATTGTACGACGAAAGGAGGGACATGGACGATAATCCCTTGTGTACGAGAGCCATCTTCCAAGCCAGGTTTATCTGCCACGTTCTGTTATAATAGGCTCGGAAAAACGGGAGCTGCGGAGCGCACGCACAGAGTCCTGGATACTACAGTTGAGCCCTTGTCCTCCGGTTGGCGAATGAACATGCGCTGCATCTGGTATCGTCTTTCAATCGGGTAACTGCAAGACCACCATCCAGTATGCAAACTCACCTCCTACAAGGAAGACCCTCCCCTCTCCAAATTTGTTGCCAATCCGCATGTTAGGTCTGTATGTAAGTGGACATTACTGGCACCGTCCTGTCCTAGACAAATATCGCAAGGACCCACCTGAAGTACGATAGCCAATGGAACTCTCCAAGGACCAAATCCGTTCTCCCTGTCTTCTCCCGGAAGAGTTGCCGCACTTTGTCCGGCTCGGAAAGCTCGGACGGGTCGAAGTTCTGTCCGGTGATGCCAATGTTGAACATCTTAGTCGTAGAATTCCATGGTCGAGCTTGAATCCTGACGATTGCTATAGCATACATTTGGAAAGAGAGCAACAAAAGGTTTACGTGAAGTGGCCTGGATGGCCCCAGATATGCCAGTACTGTCGTGGAAAAATGTCAGTGCAGGTAGTAAGTGGACAATGACGCACTCACATCACTAGACAGTCCGTCTATTTCGACGTCGGCCCACACCATGCCATCTGCATCGCGCGTCTCGCCTTGGAACGTCAATCCAAGCAACTTCCTACTGACACCTGACATCCAAGAATGAATCTCATCAATACCAAGAACTCCGAGCCATCTGTGACTCTCCACTGACCTCTTGCACCATCAGCACCAATCACGAACTCAGCGTGGACAATTTCCTGCGATGACGGTCCACCGATATGATGGATGAGCAGAGTAGCATTTACTGCGCTACCATCTTGATCGATGGCCACGAGTTCTTTCCCTAGCTCGACCTTGCAGTCGTACCGACTGAGGTGTGCGCGCATTATATCTTCTAACGTTGACTGACTAAGGCATTTCCCATTGCCCTGCCAGTCTTCAGCTAAAAATATATGACGCCACGAACTGTGCACTCACATAAGGGCGATCCGGAAAGTCCGGCATGTCCTCGTAGAGGTTCCACGTTTTCGTGGGCTCTATGCCTTCCGGCAGCTTGTATGCTCTCATGGTAGGTATATCAACAGCAAGATCGGAGACATCCGAGAGGATACCGAGCATTTCGAAAATCTCAAATGTGCGAGGCTATTATGGTTTCACAACAAATTCACTACACAAGAGTAGATGAGACGTACCTGCAGACCGAATCCGCGGGATCCAGTATGATACACACTTGCTTTGTCGATAATGCGTGGCCGCACGCCATTCTGAGCCAATGCCAGAGCCATAGCAAGACCGGCAGGCCCTGCACCAACCTAGCAGCATGTAGGCATGAGGATCTCAGCACGATAATCGTGAACCGTTACGTACTATCAAGACGGGGATAGACTCCATTTGGCTGATGAGCTGCTGAAAATCTTACTCGTCAATGAGACGTTGGAATTCAATCCACATGAAGCCGACATATATATCCTTGTTGTATTTGCGTCGGTGGGCGTGTGCTTGGTAACCAGGTTTGATGAGCGGGACCGCGAAACCCGAGATCAAGCACTGGTTAACCGTGGCGATCCATCGATGATTCCAAGTGGTCTACGGTAGCATCCATGTACAGGACAACCATGCATACCGGCATAGGGGTATAACAATAGTGACTACCTAGGGTATGTATAGAATAAGTTCTAAAAGATCACGATGGCACCGCGCTCACCGCGCTGCGAGGACACTAGTCCGTTCACGTAAGTGCTGCAGCTTCCGTCCCAGCCGTTCCCCCTCCATCTTTCGTTCCCAAACCTGATATGCAGGTGTCCTCCTCTTCGGCATCCAGTGCTTCCCGCCCTTGTCACCCTCCGAACGCTTGGATCTCATCACAGACAGATCGACCACCCGGGGTGAGGATGTATATTTAATCACTTCGCGATACAACAATTTCGACTCCGCGGCCAGCGTACGTAGATTAGGAGGTGTTGTGGACTCATCGGAGTCAGAATCCTCGGAGTCGGACAGCGTAGAAGGTACAAGAGGTGGCGTAGGCTCCCGAGGCATAGGCTCTGGCAGAGGCGGTAGAGACTCAAGTTCTTTGAGCAGATCTTGACCCTTGAGGTACGAGTTCTCCGTGCGCAAGAACCGAACGGTATTACGAAGGGCGTCGATCTGATAGTACGTGAGATTCGCGGTCGTCCACAAATAGGTGAAACATACCTGCTCGAGCAGATAGGAGGTCTCCAAACTACCCTCCACCTGAACGTTCTCGGGTTCTGTTGCTTGGTTGCCAGGCACTGCAAGGCATGTTAAGGACTGCGATCTCCCCACTCATAAAACGCGACTCACGTTGCTTCTCCTGGCTACTCGTCAACATTTTCAACTTCGCGTTGTCCTGTTCCAACGCATACAAGTCCGCCTGGAGCTGCTCCATCGCCTCTTCATATGCCCGTTCTTGTTTACGTGATTTATTCAGCTCAGCCTCCAAGTCGACGATTGTGTCGGCCTGTTTCTTAACTGCCTCCATGCGCCGCTCCATCAGTTCGATCTTCACGGTCGCTTCTTGTATATTCTGATCCTTGGTCCTCAGCGTACGCGCGAGAGCTTGCATCTCGTCGTTCAGCTGAGCCACCTTCCTCTCAGCCTCAGCGTTGATAGCAGTGGCAGCCCTGATCTCATCGATACGAGCCACCCAAGGCGCCGTACCGGTGACTGAGAGTATATATAAGGAAACGTCAGCAGTTGATGAGGGAAGTACAACGCACTCTTCAGTGTGTTCTCAGATTCCAGAGCTAATGGTAGGAGTGAAGTTGCCTCCTGAACCATCTGCGTGAAGAAATTCGTGACAGTGTCCCACGGGGAGACATCATCCTTCTTCCCCTTTCCGACTGTCGAAGCAGCCGTCTGCTTGACGAAAGACAGTACGCTGGAGAGCTGGAAGGGAGCCTTCGCACTCCGTACATCGCTTAGGTGTGGCATGATCTGTTGCGCGAGCTGTCGGAAAACAATAACCATCAATCGCAATTCGCGTATCGGAGCATACAAAATCTTAGAAGAAACGCACCGAGATACCGAAGTTGACGAGCTCCGGAACAACATTGTTAAGCGATTGGAGCTGCGGCACAAGATGGGCCTTGAGTGCAGCGGAGTCCTCTGTTAAGTCTTCTAAGCGCTTCGTGAGTTTCCTGTATATACGTCAACCTCATCGCATACACTGAGGATGAACCAAACAAGACGCACTTGGAAAGCACCTTCGCGCTCCTGCACTGACCCAACAATTTCTGAAGCGGGTCGAAGAACTCCTGATCGGCATCCAGTCCTCCCGATATGACCTCAACGTCTGGATCACGCTAAGTGTCTGTCACTCCCCGTCAATGATCGTGCTTACCCTCATCCTTCATGATCGCAGCTACAGACGTCTTGACGAGGCCTGCCGATGCGGCGAACATTTCCAGATCGTGATCAAACGACAATGCAAACCCGAGTTCGCGCTCGCCCAAGTCGTATTCGAAGCCGTTAAGGTACGTCTCCACCAGGTGGTCGAATTGAGACTGAATCCTGAAAGGCAATGGGTTTATTCTACGCCAGAGTTCAGCGTGGCGATGGCTCACTTTGCCGCGTCGCTGACGCATTCGAGCTCACGGAACTCCTCGCGGCGCAAGAGTTCGATGTGCATGTCGATCCGCTTCTCAATAGGTGCAATCTCGGGGAATACGCGGCCAATATTGAGGAAAGACTCCCCATCGCACCTACGAAGGAATGCGGTAAATCGTTTGCAGGTTGTCGATAGACTGGAGAGACGTCCTCTCATCTGAACATAACTACTGTTAGCACGAGCTGCTAGGAAGACGATTCTGAGACACACCTCGCACACCCCGACCAGCACGTCCGATACCGGGCCATTGAGCGACTCAGGCAGATTATGCGTCTGCGCCACGACGGTGTTAATGAGATCAACTTTCGCTGCCAAACGCTGAAAGAAGAGATAGCAGTTGGTGGCATCTGTATCCGACTCGACGTAGATCTGAGGGAGATACGGCTGTACATTGAGGGAATTGGCATCAATAGCGACATCCAGTACAAAGTACAGGTAGAAAACTCACCTGAATGATAGCTAGTAGCTCCTTGGCCTCCTTCGCTTCGATCCTCTTCACCTCAAGATCGATGTACCGAGCTTGGTTCTTAGAGGCCGATGACTGCAACTTGAGGTTCAACGACATCATCGCAGCGGTTTGCGAAGCCGCAGTTGCTGCCTGGTGCTGCGACGTCTGTGTCTCTGTACGGAGTGTATCAAGGTCGCTGTATAATTGTAAGCAACCACTCGAAATCCTTGATGTCGAGAGATCCTACCTTTGCAGCTGCACGACAAGTTCCCGGAACTGCATAATGGTGCTCTCGAGGTCCTGGCATGCTTCCTCAAGTGCCACGATCTTTGCTGCCTGGTCGCGGATCAGCATATCCTTGCCGTCTGCATTTATGCAGAGTGTCAGTCAGAGAATCGCCCGCCAATGGATGTTTCGCTCCGGGCACTGACCGATCTCTTCCTGCATTGCCTTTTCCGTATCAATATGGTTCTCCTCGATCTCGTCATTTAGCTCCTTCAGCGCCTCCAGGTCCTCGATGGTAATACGCATCTCTTCGATTTTCTGATGGATAGGTCAGCCGACTCATGCGAATGGCAGACGAGACGGGAAAGAAGTCGTACTTCTCCCAGCATGAGATTTCGCTCAGTTAACTGTACGAGCATTTCTTCCGCTCCAAGCGCATCGTCCAGCTGCAGCTTGAGCTCCTCGACCTGTACCTCAGCATTGGCCAACTTAAATAGTGTCTCTTCCAGTTGGGCTATAGACCGTAAATCAGCTTCAGCGCTTCACGCATGGTAAGGGACCAACCTTGTACATCGTCCAGGTTCGCCACGTCCTTCTCCATCTCCACGATTCGCCTGCGCTGTTCTTGGTCGTTCTCCTGCGAGATGTCTCGCAGCCTGCCAAACAAATGAGTCTCGCGCGCCTTTGTATAATAAACAAAGCACTAACCGTACAAGAGCTTCCTTCAGTCGCTCATTCTGCCTCTCGAGCTGAATGTATGCCAGCGACTGCTTAATAGAGCTGTCGCCTCCCTCGTCTCCACCTTTAAGAAAGGCCCACTAAGCACGGCTGCCAACTCATATTCAAAACGCACTTACCGCCGCCCTCCCTGAGCACCTGTAGCTCAACTTCCACGACCGCCAACCGCTCCCTAACCTCCTCCAGATCCGCTTCCGCCATCTCTGCGCGCTCCTCCGCCATCTCCTTATCGAGCATCACCATCTCGAGCTGCTCCTGCGTGTCGAGGATGCGGCTCTCCGCAAGCTGTGCAAGCTGCTGGGCGTCCGCGAGCTCGCGGCGTGTCGCGATGAGCTCCGTTTGCTGCGAATTAAGCTTTGCCTGCAACTTCGGGCGGAGCGCGACGAACGACTCGGCCTCGGAGAGCCGCGTCTCGAGCTCGCGGACGTGCCGCGCGTCGTCAGCGCGCTTTGCCTCAAGCACACGGACCTTCGCGCGGAGCTCTTGCAGTTCCTGGTCATCTTGGACACGCTGAACATAGAACGTTTTACTCCCTCTCACAGAACGATTAAGCTCGCGCAGACACTCACTACTGGACTTGGCGGGCGGGAATCCGTTGGCTCGGTAGGTTCGCGCACCACAACTGGTGAGTCGAAGTCTAGCTGCGGCGAGCCCACCCTGCGGAGTAGAGACGGCAGCGGCGGGGTCGACTGCTGGAAGTGCGTCTGCGCCTGCGCCTGCGACGGCGAGCGCGGAGAGGTTGATACAGACGGTGGCGCGAGCGTCCGCGGGGAGAGCCTCGTCAGACCCTCTTGCGACTCGCCGCTCCGTTGGCGCGCCATAACGGGGCTACCTGTGCTGTTGCCACCTGCATCGCTCTGCAAGGATGCCTGGCGCTGCAGGGACGTGCGCGTTTGGAGCGAGATGGACGCTTTGCGTTTGGCGGATGATGCGAGGCGCGCTTGGCGCGGAGAAGTGAGGATGCTGCTGGATGACGGTGAAGGGCTTACGCTCCCAGGAGAGGACGGGCCGCCACGCGTGGATGACGAGAGGTGAGACCTTGAAGGTGGGATGCGGGGAGCGCTGGTGCTGCTTGTCCGCTCATGCGCGACTGGGGAACGTCCAGCAGACGGCTGAGGCAAAGGTCAGGTCTCGCGTACCAGCAAATGAACGTGCTCTACTCGCCGAGGGAGAAGGCGTGCTTTCCAGAGATACGACCTTCACCTGGCTAGGTCTCACGAAGACACCGTAGTTGGGCTTGCAAGTAAAGTACTTCACGCCTTGCACCGTGCCGTCGTTCTTCCCGTTAGACTCCGCGAGCTCGATGCCGATCCAGCGTCCGGCGGAGAAGGAGGTCGCGCCGCAGAATCGAACGACGCCCCGTCCCGGGGGGACTTCCACGATAGCACCCAAGGGAGGCTCTGTCGGCGCCATAGGTGCAGCAAAGCGAGTGTCTTACAGATGTCCGGAGTTCCTCTCGTCGAGAGCACTCTAGCAATAAGAAGGTAATTTCTGTATAATCAACGCATCGGCCTGGTGACCATATGCGTGTCAGGACAGGTGCGACCAAAACTGCGAAGCTGTGGAGGAACCGGGAAGGAACGAGCTGTCGACGGGACGCGTCCGTACTCGATCACGTGGCCATTAGCGCCCATAAGGCACAACTACCAATGCCCATCCATACGTACAATGAAGGCGGCCTTCGACAATGCTCGAGATCTCTTCTCCTCGTTTCCTTTATGCTGCCCGCCAGATAATATGACTGCGCTTCCTTCTGTAACACTGGCTCTGCGCGACAACCTCATACCGCACCATGCCATGACCATCCGCAGTGTTTATACTGAGCTTGTGCTCCCCGCCGAAGCCGCAGCGAAGGAAGACCGCAAAGCCCACCTCATCGCCATCCGCGTTCTCGGATACCTCCTACTCTATCCTCTCAACGATGTTTGTCGTAGCGTCATTGCTCAAGAGATCGCGTCCTGTAACGGTAAGCCGGATCTCCGAGCTGCTTTATATGAGCTTGGAGAGTGGTATGTGACGCATTTCATTCGTCTCTGTAAGTTCCGTTCCTTGAATGCAAAATGCGGTCCAATCATCTTTCAATCTACAAGCACAAGGAGAGGACTCCTGCTCCATCGTCACATTCCTCGAGATCATCCTTCGATAATCTGCAGGAGATGATTCAGGCAGTCTTAGCACAGAGCCCTAGTAAACCCGGTAGCACGAAACAACAGGTAAGTTGTTACCATCAGTCGTTCATTCGTGCCACAGTTTGATCACCATCAATTCATTACTAGGCTCTCGTCAGAGACAATTTCCGCTGCATGGTGACTGGTCGGTTAGACCAGAAATCTTATTTCAAATACTCGTCCGAAATGGAACGACCGGAGGAGATAACGGAAACACAATGTTGCCACATTTTCCCAAATATGCTCGGTAATATCGAGACAGGCGAGAAGGTATGTTCCTTCCCGTATGTCTATCCATATGATGGCACCCAAATGGCACACCTGCGCAGGCAAACTACGTGGCGGATATCTGGACCATGTTCCGACGATTTGGTTACCGCGAACTTCAACGAGAGCTTTCGGGAGATTTAATTCACCGACTTGGAAACGTTTTGACGCTCAGTGGGAATCTTCATAGCATGATGGACACGTTGGAACTCTGGTTTGAACCGATTGAAGGAATGGTAAGCTCGACTTCTACTATCTCGCAAATACATTCATTTACCCTCCTTCAGAAGAACCGCTACCGTGTCCAAATAATACAGGATGCAAACGACCTGTTACATGCTCCTAAAGAGGTTGAGTTCACCACATCGCGCGATATTCCACTTCCGAACCCGAAATACCTGAGTATTCACGCAGCCTGTTGTCGCGTTGCTCATCTTTCCGGCGCGGCGGAACCCATTGACGATATTCAACGGGACATTGAAGAACTGCCAGTACTCGCCAATAACGGAGCGTCTTTGGATACCCTCACCTACGCTCTTCAACGTCTTGCACCGCCGGTTTAGATTTACAGCTACCATCTCTGCCGACTTTATTTACGCCGTGTAATCTTCAGTCCGCGACCAATCATCTGCATTTCATTTGCAGATGCCCAGAGGCCCGGGACAATATTGGATCTGGTGCAAACATGGCCGTAACAGTCGCATTCTAACTAAGCTGGTGACAAGGAATCCAAATACTCGTCTTCTACGAATACATCATCGTATCCATATGATCCGGCTAGCGTTCGATGCTCACATTAATCTACTGTAGCTGAACTCCAGCACTGAGTACTGAATACCGAGTATTGATCCCACACTAGCCGTAATTACGCCGTTGACCGCTCTCGAAATATATTTATATTCGGTCAATGTCATAAAGGGCGGCGTAGCATGCACAGCAGCAATGCCCAGGTCCGACATGACGAGACGCGGTCCTGGCTGGATAGAACGTGCTCATCGAGGGTCGCCCAGACAGTGTACATGCTCGGCGGCCTGCGGTCCAGTGCTGCGAGATCGATAAGATCGTGCGGCGAGAGTGGGGAAGAAGAGGGAAGAAGCAAGCAAGTCCTCGAGGAACCTCTTCAGCCTCTTGACGCTGGTCATCGTATAAATTGACGGCGCGCACGTCGCTCGCAACGCAACTCTCACCATGGTTCACGTCAAGAACAAAGTCTGTCTCATGTGAGTCCGGGTGCTGCTCGTCTTGCGCGATGTGCTTATACGGCGCTGCAGCGTCCACGATGGCTGGGGCATTGCCCCAGAGCCCAACATGAAGGGCGACGCTATCACAGCGGGGGACACCACGAACATGGATACGATCTCGAAGGAGCATAGCGTGCGCACGCTGCATGCTCACGGCATCGCCGTGGGGCTCAGCGATGGGCTTATGGGCAACTCGGAGGTCGGGTACGTGCGCTTTCATCCTTTCACGGCGGCGCATTGAATGAGCGAATGCTCAGGCACTTGAACATCGGTGCTGGGCGGGTCGTCTGGCAAGATATCGTGAGGATCGATGTGTCGATCAAGAAGCGCCAGTTCCACAAGAACGAGGTCATTGTCGGGAGCTGCAAGCATGCAAAGGAGGGGAACGGCCGTCTGCACCTGCTGGGTCTCGTACGTGTCGCGTGGATCTACCTTTCTGCTCAGGTGGCTGACCGTGCGGTACTCTAATCTATGCGGTACTCTGATACAATAGGTCTCGGACGGTGGCGTGCACTCGCACATACGCCACCTGTACGCGCTGCTCGAGGCCGCGAAGGAGGTCGGTGTCCCGCATGTCTACATCCACTTCTTCGGCGATGGGCGTGACACCGCGCCCCGCTCGGCCGCAGGATACGTCAAGGACCTCCTCGCCTTCATCAAGAAGGAGAAATATGGTGAGATCGCGACCGTCGTGGGTCGTTACTACGCAATGGACCGCGACAAGCGTTGGGAGCGCATCAAGATCGCCATGGATGGCCTCGTGAAGGGCGTAGGCGAGAAGGGCGAAGACATCGTGAAAGCGATTGAGGAACGATACAAGAAGGATGAGACGGACGAATTCTTGAAGCCTATCATCGTGAACGGCGATGAGGGCCGCATCAAGGATGGCGACACGCTCTTCTTCTTCAACTACCGCTCTGACCGGATGCGGGAGATTGTCACTGTGCTTGGCCTCCCTGACAAGCCCATGGAGGTCGATGTACCGAAAAACCTCGTGTGTAGGTTTTCTTGTGGATTGGTTGTTGACTCACATTTCTGTGGCTGCTTCCTAGCACATCAGCACCATGTCACAGTACAACGCCGAGTTCCCCTTCCCGGTTGCCTTCCCGCCACAAGCGATGACCAATGTTCTCGCTGAATGGCTCGCGAAGCAGGGCATCAAGCAGGCACACATAGCTGGTACGTTTCTTTTATATTATCGTGCTCGCATGTCTCCGACCGTACATAGAAACCGAGAAATATGCACACGTCACATTCTTCTTCAACGGCGGTGTTGAGAAACAATATCCTAACGAGGAGCGTCATTTGATCCCCTCGCCTAAAGTCGCGACGTACGACAAGGACCCCAAGATGAGCGTCCAGGCCGTCGCGAACACGGTTGCGGAGGTTATACGCAAGGGCGACAAGGAGTTCGTGATGTGCAACTTTGCGCCGCCGGATATGGTTGGCCACACGGGCGTGTTCGAGGCAGCCGTGGAGGCCATCTCCGCAACGGACAAGGCCGTCGAGACGGTGTACAAGGCCTGCGAGGAGGCGGGCTACATCCTGCTCATCACCTCGGACCATGGGAACGCGGAGCAGATGATCAACTCCGAGACGGGTGCGCCGCACACGGCACACACGACGAACCCGGTGCCGTTCATCATGACGGGTGACCCGAAGAAGTTCCACTTCACTGTCGACAAGAAGGACGGTGAGGAGGAGGAAGGCGCGCTGTGCGATGTGGCGCCGACGGTTCTTGACGTAATGGTGAGTGCATATGTGACTGAGATATCTTCGCTATTCTCACGACATTTTGTATGACTCAGGGATTGCCCAAGCCCGAAGGCGAGTGCCTGAATACATGCGAGCGTAGATTGTGAGACTGACTATTTGATTGCAGAGATGACAGGTCGCTCGTTGCTCGCGCATGATGAGAAGAAGGAAGCAAATTAGAAGGACTCTAGAACGTGTATTTGACATAACTGTAAGAAGTAGACGTTCAAGGGATTTGAACTGCTACCACTGCGAATAGACGAGGTGATAATGCTCAATTTGCTGTTCTCAGGATGGCTTGAGAAATTTGTTAGCAGCCTTGCCAGAACTCTGCGAAAGGTATATATATATATGGACTGCGAGATTTCTTTTGTTACGTTGGGTCGGCTTGCGTTTCCTCTTAAACTGTCATCGATTCATCCCTCTGGTAACATTGCTGTTACCAGAGCCTCTGGTAACATTGCTGTTACCAGAGGGATCAGCAATATTAATGGCAGACTTTCACGGTGTCGGCTGCTGCCGAGCTGTGCCTGACTTTCTCAAACTCCGCGGCGACCGATGGAATTTCCGGTGGCGTCTGCAGACTGCGACGCTTTACCTGCAGTGGTCTTAACATGATCTGCTATGCTGTAAAGCTGATTTTGGACGTGCAACGGATTGACTGCTGCTACAAATTCGCCGACGTTTGCCTATGTCTCGGACAGCATTCCGCATTGCGGCAGAGGGATGCAGTTTCTGGCCTGGCAAATCTCCCCCCTTGCCATTTATGCTATGTTGAGCGTAGCAATGCATAACAATTTGCTCGGACTCGTATCGCGATCGGAAAAACATGTCAAGGTGCAGATGCGGCCACAGTCAGAGTCGACGATATTGAACACGATCGCATGCCTGTAAGTACGATGACTACTGCATCTGCGCTAACTCGTAGGTCTCACAGCCCTCAGTGATACCCTGCTCGTCCTCCATGCTATCCTCGACATTCTCAAAAACAAGAGACGTGTGCTGGATCTCGGCGCCAAAGTTGCCAACCAGGCGAGAGGGAAAGTCCAGCGTGTACGAGTCGCTGTGAGAAATCGGGTTCAAGCACACGCTGCCGACGGACACCTGGCGTAGATTGAGGAGGAAGCGTGATATCAGGATTGATGAGATTCTGATTGACTCGATAAGCATGGGCTGAGCTGGATTGGGTATGATTGGTCACTTACGGTGGCAGGAAAATTGAGATGTAGTCTGCGTTATTCTGCCTGCACGTTACCTTAAAGTGGCCATGCAGGTGTGTGGGTAGACTTGCCTGTGAACTCCGAAAGCGGAGTGCGATCACGATCTCGAGGATGTTGAGAAGCAAAAGGGCCCTGATGAATGGTGGAAGAACGATGTCACGACAAGGCACTGTGACAGAGCTCGACATACATGAAGTAGAGTGTGCCTTGAATTGGCTGCTTGTAAGGCATCACATGTACCAAGAGAGCCACAATACTCACCATCCCTCACCAGCACCGTCGCGATCGATCCTTTTAATCGTAATTTCCGCACTTTTATGGCGAGGCCCGATGTCTTGAACCAAGTGACAAGGACCACAATCAGGTCGGATACAGCCGGGCAGATGCGCGCGAAAATGATGACTGCAGGTATCGTGCATATCAGAGCAACAACTCATCGGTTTAATGCAAACTCACGTCTAAGCAAAGGACGGTCAGTCGTAGGAGTGCCGACATCGGGGAGGTGGATGTGGCACTCACTTGTTCTGTATCGCGATGGACATGCGGACGTTAAAGCCACAAAGTGGATAGCTGCCCACGTAAGGGACGAACGCGTATGAATATCTTGTATATGCAAACTGCCCGGAGGTGCTCAACAGACATAATGGCGGAGAACATATGTACTCACGATGTTGGCGCCGGCTGGCACCAGCCCCAGTAGCAAGACTAGCAATGCAGGGGCGATCTGGCCTCCGCTGATAGCATATGTGCGGAATGCGGAAAAGCCTAACAATTTATCGATCAGTCTCTTCATGAAACCTGAGCTCAAACAATCTCTGACTTGCTGTCACGGCCTCAAGAACAGCAGTCATCACGTTCCCCAATAATGTCACAGCCTCACAGCTGCGACAATCTATCTACTGCGCTGAACATACGGTGCGGTCATCGCCGCTCACCTCTGTGTGCGCGTATATCATGAGTGCTCGATTTACTCGCACGACGACACGACATGACTAACCAGTGGAGTATGCCACCACACCGCGCTCAGTGTGGAACTAACGCCTTGCACCACGAGCAGGTAACGGTTGAGGGCAAAGATAACCGTGACAGTGGTCAATCTGGCCCCCCAGATGACCTGAACCTCTTCAGCGAAAGTCACCATGTACTCAAAGAAGATGAAGGCTGAAAATATCCAGTCTGTAAGTCGAGTTCGATAGCTTGTAGTGGTCCGATCGGGGGGCGTACCAGCAGCTGCGAGACTGCAGTAGTTGTTGGCGTATCTGTGACAGTGACCGCAATCTCGTCGGTTGAACGCCTCGCAAAGTATCGACGTCCTCACGCTTGCTGTAAGGAATCCACTTCTTCCTGAGCTAATATGCTTGCAGCTGACGAGTTCGACATTATAGAGGTATCAACGTCGGTGACAACGGTCAATGCAACACAGAACAGTTCTCGGAGGGACTTGAAGGATGCCCATCGCCGCGCGACTCATCTTTATATAATGCCTGATTGACCGGACGTGAACGCAGAGGGCCCGGGTAAGTATCAGATGGGGGCTTACCGATAGCACAGGTGTTGAAGATTGCAGAAACGACCATCTGTCAAACAGAGCAGCCGTATCAGATATGATACGTGTGGTTCATCATGCGCGTGTGAGTACATTTGAGGATCCGTCGCCCTACATAGTTGCAGAGAGAAGCTAAGGAAAAAATCATGAGAGCAGTGCGATAGCAATCGAGAAGCGCGCCGTGGCGTCCAAAATCGCAGTGCTAAAGACGTTGCTCTTCGAGTAACGTGCCCATTTCCCGTACAACACAGATTTCCGGCGAGCAGGAAGTACTCATGCTTAGTCTCTGTAGCAGGTGAAGGGCGCCGTCACCCTCGAACTTGCAGGCCTTCCGCCATGGACCGAAAAGGATGGCCCCGTCCTGGAGCCTCCTCACCCGCCGCTTCAATCTTGCTCGACATCCGCGAGCACTCGCATCCAAGTATGAGAACACCTCAGCGGGCTCCGACCACCGCGCGTCGCGCAGCATCAACAACGTTCCGTCCAAGCTCTCGAGCACGGTGCTTTCGGGCGGGCCGAAGCCGCGCAAGATATGGAAGAGCATCGAGATCATGTTGCCGAAGCGCGGAGGCTGACGCGAGGCATTCATTAGAAGTGACGAAGCGATGGCTGGGGCATTGCCGCAAAGCCCAACATTCAGCGCGATGCTATCACGGCGGCGGGACATGGATACGATCTCGAAAGAGCATAGCATGCGCACGCTGCATGCTCGTGGCATCGCCGTGGGGCACAGCGACGGTCCTGTGGGCATCTCAGAGGGTGGGTATCGTGCATGTTCATGCCTTCATGACGGCGCGTTGAATGAGCAGATGATCAGGCACTTGGGCCTGAATATTGATGCTGGGCGTGTCGTCTGGCAAAATATTATGAGGATCAATGTGTCGATCAAGGTATACGGACTTGCAGATGCTGTCTGTACGTTGGTCTGCTTCCGGACTCTGATTTCACACTCACGGCGGCTGCCGAGCTGGGTCTGCATTTCTCAGACTCCGCAGCAACTAATGGCATTTTCAGCCACCGACCGCGTCTCCCAGTCCCACTGCTTGCGAGACTGCTAGCTTCATCTGCTGTGCTGTAAGACTGGTTCAGAGAGTGCAATGGGTTGACTGCTGCTACCAAACCACCCACTTTGGCCTGTCTCTCGTACAGCACTCAGCATTGCGATAGCGAGATGCAGCTTTTGACCAGGCAAATTCTCCCCCTTGCTGTATGCCACCAAGCTGCATGTTATTCTTGCTCAGACATCGCGATCGGAAAATCATGTCAAGGTGAAAATGTGGGCCGCAGTCGAAGTCGGCATTATGGAACACGATCGCATGACTGTACAATGACTATTGCACTGCGCTAACTCGTAGGTCTCACAGCCCATAGTGATACTCTGCTCGTCCTCCATGCTATCCTCGACGTTCTCAAAAACAAGAGACGTGTGCTGGACCTCGGCGCCAATGTTGCCGACCAGGCGAGAGGTCAAGTCCCGCGTGTTCGGGGTGCTGTCAGGAACCGTATTCAAAGCCACGCTGCCGAGGGACGCCTGGCGTAGGTTGAGGATGAAGCGTGACACTAGAATTGACGAGATTCTGTTTGACTCGGTAAGCATGAGTTGAGCTGAATTGGATATGATCGGTAGCTTACGGTGGGAGGAAAGTTGTGATGTAGGTTGCGGGATTCTGCTTGCACGTTACCTTAAATTGCCATACACCTGTGTGGTAGACTTGCCTGTGAACTCTCGTAGCGGACTTTGATCACGATCTCGAGGACGTTGAGAAGCAAAAGTGCCCTAATGAACGGCGGAAGAATACAGTCATGACAAGGCACCAGGACAGAGCCCGACGTACATGAAGTAGAGCGTGCCTTGAATTGGCTTCTTGTAAGACATCGCGTGCACTTAGAGAGAGACATATACTCACCATCTCTCATAAGTAATGTCGCCGTCGACCCTCCCAACCGTAATTTCCGCACTTCTATGGCGAGTCGGAATGTTTTGAACCAAGTGACAATGACCACGATCAGGTCGGATACAGCCGGGCAGATGCGCGCGATGAGGACGACTGCAGTAATCATGTGTGTCAGAGAAACAACTCATCGTCTTTTTTCGAACGCACGTCTAAGCAGAGGAGGGTCAGTCCTGGGAGCGCCGAGGCCGGAGAGGTGGAAGCGGTGCTTACTTCTTCTGTATCGCGATGGACGCACGGGTGTTAGAGTCACAAAGTGGGTAGCTGCCTACGTAAGTGACGAACGCGTATGAATCTTCTGCATATGCAAACTGCCCAGAGCTGCTCAACAGACATATAATGGCAGAAACCATATATGCTCACGATGTTGACGCCGACTGGCGCTAGCCCCAGTAGCAAGACCAGCAATGCAGGGGCGATCTGACGTCCACTGATAGCGTATGTACGGAATGCGGAAAATGCTAACAATTTATCATCAATCTCCTCATCAAATATGAGATCAAGCAATCTCTGACTTGCTGTCACAGCCTCAAGAATCACGGTCGTCACGCTTGCCAACAAGTTCACAGCCTCACAGCTGCGGCAATCTATCAACCGCGCTGAACATACGGTGTGGTCATGGCCGCTCACCTCTGTGTGCGTGTAGATTGTGAGTGCTCGAATCACCCGCGGCACGACATGATATGACTTACCAATGGAGCATGCCACCAGATGGGATTTAGTGCGAAATTAACGCCTTGCACCATGAGCAGATAACGGTTGAGGGCAAAGATGATCGTGACAGTGGTCGACCTGGCTCCCCAGATGACGTGAACTTCTTCAGAGAAAGTCACAATGTACTCAAAGAAGATGAGGGCTGACCGGCCCGTAAGTCGAGTTCGATCGCATAGAAGAGTCTGACAGGGTGCGTACCAGTAGTTGCGAGATAGCAGTAGTTGTTGGCGTATCTGTGACGTTGATCACAAATTGGTCGGGTGAACGCCTCGGGAAGTATCATCGTCCTCACCCTTGCTTTAAGATGTCCACTTCCTCCTGAGCTAACATGCTTGCTGCTGACTCGTTCGACATTTTGGAGGTATCAACGTCGGTGATGGTCAATGCAGAACAGAACAGCGCTCGGAGGCACTTTAAGGATGCCCGTCGGCGCGCTACTCATCGTTATGTAATGCCGGACGAATGCAGAGGATAAGGACTAGATGGAGCTCACGGGCAGCATGGACAGTGGAAATTGCCGAAAAAGCAATGCCGGGCGCAACGTATCGGAAAAGTGGGCGTCGGTCTCAGTGCGTCTTGTTGCACAGATTTTCGGCGAACATACTCGATCTGCGCATGCCAGGCATGTCCGATCGCTCGATCGCTCTTCACCTGTACTACTGGTGAAGGGCGCTGTCACTATCGAACTTGCAGGCCTTTCACCATGGACCTAAAGGATGGCCCCGTCCTGGAACCTCCTAACCCGCAGCTCCAATCTCGCTCGACATCCCCGGGCACTCTTGAATCCAAGCAGGAGAACCCCATTGCGGGCTCTGACCACCGCACGTCGCTTAGCATCAACTACCTGCCGTCCAAGTTCTCGAAGACGGTGCTTTCGGGTGGGCCGAAGCGGCGCAAGGTATGGAAGAGCACCGAGATCATGTTGCCGAAACGTGGAGGCGGACGCGAGGCATTCAGAAGTGACGAAGCGCGCATGCCCGACGGGGGCGACGATGACTACAACGGTATAGTGCTCAGATCCAATGAGGGTGGACGGAAATCCAAGCCTCGCTGGAACAGGTTTAAATGGGCTTTGTTCCTGACAAATATCTTGGTGAGCCTATTAGGTCTTCCGCACATGCTGCCAGCGTCTCATCTTGTACGCAGTTCACGATCTACTCCATTGGTGGCCTCATCTTCTGTCTCCTTATCTGGTTCAATGACCTCCCAAACGCCGCCATCATCCGCCTCGCCAACCACACTGAGCTTATCCTCAGCACGTTCGCCGCCTCACTCGGAATCCTCACTGCACTTATTGGACACTCCGGCGTGCTCCTCAACAACCGCACGTTCCTCGCCGTGTACTGCACCCTCCTCTTCGCGTGTTTCGCGCTGCTCGTCGCGCCGGGTTACACTGCGTACAAGCGGCGCGCGTTTGATCTCGAGGGCAAGATCAACGAACAGTGGTCGCGCGACCTCGGACTTACCGGGCGGCTCGTTGTGCAGGACCAGCTTCACTGCTGCGGATACTTCAGCCCGTTTGTTGAGGCAACTGTGAGCGCGACGTGCTATGCACGGAGCGTCCTCCCCGGATGCAAGGCTCCGTACCTGCGTTTCGAGAGAAAGGTACTTGAGTGGTGGTATACGGTCGTATTCGCGCTTGTCCCCGCGCAGATATTCGTCATGGTCGCTGGTCTACTGTGCTCGAACCACGTTACATACAGATTTGGGAAGGGAATGATGCCGAAGGCGTACCGTCTGGATGCGGACAGTCTAACATTCATCATGCAAAACTATGCGAGGTGTGTGACCGAGTGGTGATGTTGTTATCCGAAGCATCGAAGCTGAACGCCTTGAGCAGCCAATTGGCAGAACAGTACGGCAAAGAAGTCGCCAAGGACGTTGTGGCCCGTTCGAGATCGACTCTCCAGCTCGACGCGATCCCTATGGTACGCTACTCTGGAAACTCATCCTCGACGTCTACGGCCAGCATGCTTGTCAGCTCTTCAAGGAGAGCCTCAAATATAATTTGAAGAGCTCCAGTGACACCTCTGGAGGGTATAAACCCCTTTGCAGAGCCATAGAGTGCCTTCAGGTTCTCCGAGAATACCGTCAAGTTTCGGAGGTCGAAGATTATTTGACTACTACATCTCATGTTTCCCTTCTTGCCACCCGTTTTACGATATTATCCTAGCCCTCTTCTAACTTTGTGTAAACTCTTCTTCAACTTTCGACCATGAGGCTTTGGGAATGTCCATGCAGGGGTGATTGAAATGCAGCAGTAACAAGTTGGTAACAATGAAACCCACACAGCAACTGCCCTAATCTGAAAGCCTTTAGCCGGTATACCACAATATATGCGCTCTAAACACGGCTTGCAGAATTCGGTACATTTGTCGAAGGGCGTCTTGTTCAAGGAGTAGCGGTGCTATAGCTACAAGGATTGGTATAGGTGACAGCTGAGCAAACCGGAATATTACAGTGCATATGCGGCGGAACGTGAATGATTGCAGGTCCTAGATTGATCTTGAGTATGGACAGCAAACCGAAGAAAAAGAGTTATAAACGAGTGAGGAACTCTCAACAGTCCGAGAAATCAGTATTATGCTGTTGCGGTGGAGTCTGCTGTAAGCTCAGGATGCGCTGTCCTCCCCGGGATTGCGAGCACGACGAGCAAGGTCCTCGACTGCCTTTGCCAGCTGCGCGTTGACAGACATCTGCTTCTGGACCCGCGACTCTTTTCCAGCACGTTTGTATAACTCTACGACACACGTAGCTCAATGTTCGCCCAAGAAGCATTTCATGTTGATGAACGCACCTAGGAATCGCTCGCCAATCCAAAGCCCTAAAGGCGCATTGCCGATCGCCACCGGCTGTTCTTGCTTCGGCCCCTTCCCATTATTCGACGGAGCACCTTTCGTAGCTGGCGCTCCCAGACCAGCAGCGAGCTGTTCACATGTCTGCAACATCTCGCGCGCGTGGTCGCCAGCAGTATGGAAGTAGTGGGATGCGATCAGCGCTAAGATCAATGCGCGCAAATGGTTGTCTTGTGCTCTTGTAGCAATAGCTAGAGCCTGCTTGAGGTGTTGTCTAGCAGACGGCGCCAAGTCAGCGATAATCAAGGTGCAAAGCAGTCTGATTTTACTTGGCCTTCAATATCTCTGTCGTCAGGCATGCCTCGATTACCCGTCCAATGGCCTCCAGGATTCCGCCCGCTCCTCGGCATATCTTGGCGATACGTAACCCAGCCTGACTGTCCAGGCAAGAACCTCCATCTACGTCACCGCGAGAGTGCTGGAGGCCGATCTGCATGGCAGCTTCTCCTGCGCGGGCTGCATGTTGCACGAAGCTGCCGGATTCGGCAACCTGAGCGGCGACACGGTAGCACTGGAGCGCACGGGATGACTGTCCGAGAGCATGTGCTAGGTATGCATGATGGAGCGCGATGCGTGCAGCGAAACGGGGGAATATGTTGTACGTGCGCGTATGCGCGATGAGGATGTCTATATTCTGAGAGAATGTTAGACACAGACGTATCCTCACAACGAGCAGTCTCACCTTCTCCGCTGTATCAAACTCACTTCGCATCGTAGACACCTGTCAGACTGTCAGATGTGGATTCTACGTATACCGCGAACCGGTTGTCATACGTACTGCGATGAGCTCGCACAGCAAATCGGCCTTGATTCTGGCAAGGCGTTGTTCGATCTCGTCGATATCGCCCAAGCCCGACCACAGTGAAACTGTGAGAACGTCATGTCATCTCGCAAATCCTCGATCGACGCCTCTGAGGACATACATGATATTTCACGTTTGACCTCGGTCTCCCACACGGTTAGCCCTTCGGAAGCAAACACCTTCCGCTTCGGCTTTCGTCCTACAGCGTCTCGCTTTGCTGTAGCACTTACGAGGAATCCGAGCAAGAACAAGACACGGGGATGCGTCACCTCGATGATCAACGGAGGGCCGTTATCAAACGGTAGCTAGATGCGTAAATAAATGTCAGAGAAAACGGTAGTAGAGAACGAAGTCGGCTGCTGACCTCCACCACACCACTCGGGAACTTGTCCAGAGCGCCTGAATCCAGGAGAGAATGCAAATGTGAGAGCCGAGGAGAGGCTTCTGGGGCGTCCCCGATATGCGTATAGTAGACCACCGACATCATCAATAGATGCACCACCATGGCAGACTCAAATGCACTATCAAAAGATATAAACGTCGCTTCCACACTGTCTGTAGATCCTTCGGCGCCCGTAGAGAACTGGACCTTGTGCGGCTTGGGGGTGGTCTTGGGCTCGTACGAGAGGCCTAGCGCTTCCTCGGCACGTTTCAGCGCTGTTGGAACATCTGCCCAGAGGGACGCAGCGACAAGTATGCGCAAACGTAGTACACGCGCTAGGAGTGCAACGCGCTTGTACTCGTTCTTCTTCGAGGTGGTCTCCAGCTCTTCGAGGATATTGAGAGCCGCATGAATGTCTTGCGGGCTTCGTGACGGCGGAGTGAAGGAAACTTGACCGGGAACAGATGTCGCATACAGCGATGGAGAAGGGGTAGTGAGGAGGTTGATGTATGCGAGCTGAGCGGAATAAATAACATGTGGAGGATCTGTAGGTCGGAATGACGCGAGCAATTTCCGGATCTGCGTGCGTGCAAACTTAGACTTCTGTTGCCAATGAGAGAGTTGAGCTTGTAAGAGAGCCAAATGGTGCATATATGCGCGTAATGATGGATGCTACGACTGGGATGAGTGGCGTATGGCTCGATATGTGCAAGTATACGATACCTTCTGAGCGATTATGGACTAGGGCAATAGGTGTACGTCAGCATACTGAAAAGAGGGTATGTTCGAAAGTTTATGCAAGATCTGCGCTGCTTTTGCACATGACGCCTGACAGACATGGGTTTCGAGAGGAGATACGGGGACTTACGCCTTTGCTGACGGCTTTCTCGACCTGATAGTGGCGCTGTAAGAGCAACCATGGCAGTCAAGATTATTTATCACATACCTCTGCCTCTATTCCATGAGCCCACATATGCTCCTCGTTCTGGCTCAGCCCTCCTCCGATGACTTTCATACCAATCTCTGCCAGACCAGTCCACGCACGACACTCGATCTCGGGAGATAGCGCTGGCATCGAGAGACATATACGGAGCGCTGATAGAGACAGAGTAAGAGATTGAAGATAGAAGCGATGATTCGGAGGTTGAGCTAGCAGAGCAGGCAAAGACACAAGAAGTACAGCTGGTGGTAGCGGTGCGAAGGATGCCACGGATTCCGACTCTGAGTGGGAAGAGGATGGCTCGAGTCTCTTGCGTTTTTCAGGTCTTCCATTATTGTTGGGCATGTAGGTATGAGCGATATGTGAAAGGAATGGTGCCTCAACGGTCCGACGACCATAGAAAGATGTGGCGTCTGAAAGTGTGACCGGACGCGTCGTCCTATAGACGCGTGGTGTCACGCGTGATGAATCCGTGACCTTTCGCGTTCGCTAGGCGCCAATCCGGGCAGTCGTTCACTATCATAGCATGCCTACTCTAGTTTTCTTTTTTTTTTGCCTTGTGCTTCGGTCTACACCCGGAGATTCTCAACATTCAGCCATCAGATATAGCTGACGCAGTAGTCCGTGCAGAATCCCACGAACGTCGCTTGATGGATCTATATCAAGATGCACTGCATTGCGGGGAAATCTGAATTCTGGGGAGATAGACTCAGACTCCGGGGATATGAATATTCAAGAATATCTCAGTATAGTGTCACGAAAGTCAGATGAATATTTCGCGAGGATTCCTGATGAATAGCGATGGACAGCATAGAGAACCATATCATCGACAGCGCCGATGCGGAAGCAACGAACATAGACATGGAGAATACATGTGGCGATATAAATAGGTGAGATACGTGTGATCATGTTATAAATCATATTTGGACCTTCGATATGTCGGTCTCTGAAGGATGGTCTTCGCCATAGTCGGTCTCGATCTGGACGGTTTCTTCGACATTGATGTGAACCTGTTGATCGATGAGTGTCGAGCACGACGAAGAATCCTGTATAGCACCCGAACCTTAGTGGTCATGGGAATATGTTCAGTACGTGGCTGGATGGCATGGTAAGAATTTGTCCTTAAAGAATGCGGCAGACGCACATGTTGTCTACTGCGGGTCTGGCCGTGTTCGTGGTTTCCTGAGTACTCGCCTGCACTAATGACCATCGGGAAAGAGAGGTCCATGTCAGCAGCGGATGACTGCTGAAGTCGAAGAGCTCTTCTTGCGTTGAGCCTGTGCAGATGAACGTAAGGAACGTTCCAGTAATGAACAGCCATATGCATACGTTGAGAGCAGCGCATTGGCATATACTGATAAAATCCTCAGCTTAAAGAGATCGACGATGGGGTGATGGACGCACGCTTGGCGATGATGAAATGCAAGGACAGAAAGACCAGATTCGTTAACGTAACCCACTGCATTTCTCGATCAGTAATAGCGTCGGCAAGACAGTTCACACGTACGCATATCAAGGTCACGACTGTTGTAATACTGCAGTGAAGTCAATCTCAACACCATGACAATAATACAAGGTATCTTACAAGGTGATCGTGCCGTTTTGCACCGTACAGAAGGTCAGTGTGTCGAGGACGCTATCCATCCTGTGCCAAAACATTCAGTGGCGTGCTGACAACAGACGTCGAGAAGCAGCAACATACGAAGAGAATGCGCTCTTGCTCTTCCGTAGATAGTAACATAGCGTGATCGCGACCATAATATCCAACGCCGCTGATAATGAAAGGCCAAAGGTGAAAACCCACTGAATATGCATGGGAGTATAAGGTTAGGCGCCATTGTCGTCCCACTCTGTTGTATGACCGGTCGCTCACCCCTACATCTGTTCGGAATTTCGAGAAGCTCCCCAGCCGGTCCCTGCCCAGCTCGTCATTTTGAGCTGATATGCGACATCAAGACCATTAACGCACATCATTGCGGTAGAGACCAACGCAGCAACTAAAGGTGTTTTAGATCAGACCAGCGACTTGTTTTTTTGCCGAAGTCATACCTAATCGGGCAAACGCGACCACAGCCTTTAGGAATGTGAGCGGAGGACAGTTGTTGTGAGTTCAAGCTGCTTCATCTTACCAGCGGTAAAGCAATATGCCATCTTCTTTGGCTTACTAAAGCGAAGCGTCAGCGACAAGTACCGTTCATCAAAGTATGAGATACCTGTAAAGACCCTGTATGCGAAGAAACTAAACCACGATATTAGCAGGAGCCCCAAACGAGACATTATGGAACAAACCATTGCACTACGAAGGTCATGGTTGCCTATGAGAGCGCTGAGCAAACAGCCGCTTGAACTACCAAAGACAACCCTACCGTAAGCGCTACTGTAGCCTGGATCCGTATCAGTGTCAAATTGCAATTATAGCTTTTCTCGCACATACCGCAATTGGCCTGTGGACGGCAAAATCAAATTATTAAACGTGACTCTAGTCGAGCTTAGCTGCATGTTCGAGTGCACATACCATGGTATCCAGTCCTTGACATTATTGTCATCCCAATGGGTGATAAAATACTGCCAATCTCCAACACATACGAATCCCGTATGCAAGATATCAAGTGTCCTGGTAAGGCCATGAGTACTTTCAGGTCGGGGACCTCACATCAAGTACTGCAATGCTCACCAGACCAAATAGACCTGTCAACCGATTCGTGTCATCGAATATTCAGCATTTCGTCATAATTGTGAGGAAATCCTACCACGACTTTCAGCCGCAGCGCATCATCATGGTACAGGGAAGTATAGAGAATGGTCTGCATTGACACGATTCCTGAAAGGCTGCATACACAGAAAGAGGTAAGCCGCACGTCGTTGCCAGACTTTGAATGCAGGAGCGCTCACAACGTGGACACGAAGCCGCCCGCAAGGACGGCACCCAGCGTCGAGGGTATGCTATCCAAAGCGGTCGACATCGCATGAAGACTGTGAAGGGAATAGGGCAGCGCGTGCGAGTCAATCGAGATCATATCAGCGTATTTGAGTGCTGGCGTGGTGGCGCCGAGCAACCAGACAGACCCGTGACAGTGGATAGGGTGGGGTAAAGCGCTGGTCTTTCAAGCAAGGTTTGCCACGGGCAGATTGGTAATCTGACGCGTTCAAGTAGCTCATATAAATTGGGTCAAAGCGTCATCAGGTTTAGATTTAATGTTAACTCCGGCGGACGCACTAGCATGTCCCTCACTAACCAGCGGCCGCCGGCCATGAATGCATAGTGGCAGGCAGGCTTGACGCAACGGATAAGGTAGCGTTCGTCGGTAAGGCTGCGGTGGTGCCAAGTGTACGAGAGACGAATAATCAGCTTCGAGTGCATTCCGGATGCCGGAGATACAGACTTGCGGAGTGACGCTCACCCGGATAACTCCTTCTAAAACCCGATTCCCGCATCAACGGCTTGCAATCTTTAGCATGGAGCAATATGTATATGGATTGCATGATTAATTGCATGATTCAATTCGGCGCTCCATCAAACAGACGCATATCGCGGATTGAGTTGTTGCCGAACTTCTGTGATCAAGAAGGCGCGATGCGCATCATCGGGACCCTACGACTCAAACGCACGTCCAATAATCATGACATTGCACCACTAGCTGCCGTAGTCTTGCAGTTTACTGTCGCATTCCAGGGTAACTAAGGGCCCTGGCTACCTTCCTGCGTCTCGCTTCCTCATGCATCCGCGAAGCATTCACAAGGTGGAGTTGACATAATCTGAGAAGCAACAAGCTGTCATTGCGGGGCGTCAAGGGACAAGCGCTCACTGAAGACGCTGTAGGCGCGAACAAGGTATCAGCATGTGGACAGCACATGTTCCCATCCCGAATTTCGACGAGGGTCAAGGGGAGGCATCCCATTGCTGCTCAAAATGTCTATGCGGATAGCAACGCAGCGAGCAGATCGACGGTTGGCACCGCAGGTAATATTAGTGCTGTCATAATAAATGGATGGATAGCTTAGACCTATATCTTGCTATCAATGTTTCGCTTAGCAACGGATATTCTGAAGGCGGTCCTGATGGAAGTGACAGATTTGGAGGCTCCGCGGTCTCTCAATGACACCTACGCAGTAGGACGCGCACATTGCCGTGTATGAAGACGCCACAGGAATCAATCATATACCGGAAATACCTGAAACGGCATCCGCACGCTCTTCATCGACATCTCAAAGAGTGTCTAGCCTATTGGACCCTGACGTCGTCCTGTCCGTGATGCGCGCAGAGGCATTCGCTGCGAGAAGATGTTTGATGCTTGCATCAATCATAGAATGGCGGCTTTGATGAACAAATTCAAACCAGATATCGCACGGCTCTATTGTGTGGAATGAATGATCGGTCTTACGGCAGAAAAACACCATATTGGAACTGTGGAACTGACATGAAGTTTCATTGCGTTCGTTCATTGAGCGCTGGCCGTGGGTTGGTGTCTTCCGGAATCATCATGGATGAGGTGGGCAGGTGTCGTCGATGCACCTCCCGAGTTCAGGCCATAAAGCACTTCCGCTGGGAATGACTTCTCTTGCAGGATCATCCTGCTCCTCGACTGAGCACTGCCGAGCGGTGAACGGTGAACGTTAACTGAACCATGAACTTCGGAGATTCCCTAACTCAAAAAAGCAAGCCCTTACTGGAAGATGGCGCGCGGGGCGGCACACGGGCGCACAACGGTCCCACGAGCCCGTGGGATGTCACAGCTGGGGATGGACCATGATCAGCTCATGAGTACGATGCAGAGAAGTACTGCCCATGCATGCTCCGCACTCGTGAGCGGTCGTTGAGAGTGCATCGACACCGCGAAAACGGTACCATCGACGCCGACCGAGCGGATCGAGCATGCAAGAAACAAACAACGTCTACTCGGTGTCCGAGAACTTAACTATGATGTAATGCCAAGTTAGTGCAAATAAAGGCCGTTTCGGTGGAAGTGCGGATGACAGTGCCTTACAATCAATTTATCTGAAACGTCCCTGCCAAGGAACGGCGTGGCGCTTCATCAAGAGAACACTGACGGGGACGTTTGGACTCTACAGGTATATATAGAAAGATGTGGCGTCTGAAAGTGTGACCGGGTGATGAAATCGTGACCTTTCGCGTTCGATAGGCGCCAATACGCCACAGGCTTGCCAGCAGCCGTCCATGATCTCACTATTTTTCAGCACTCGCTGCAGTTGTATATTTTTTCTTCTGCTTCAGTCTATACCCAGCGACTCCCAATATATGATATTTCAGCTATCGGAGATAGCAGAGTCAAAATCCCATAGAGTCTCACGAATCATCCCTTGATGGATCTGTATCAAGATCCAATGCACTGCGGGGAATATAGGGAAATAGACTCAGACTCCAAGGATACGAGTTTGCAAGATTATCTCAGTATTGTGCCATAAATATGAGGTGAATGTTTCGTGAGGATTTTTCAAGAACAGCGATGGACATGACAGAGAACCATATCATCGACAGCACCGATACGGAAGCAATGAACATAGGCGTTAAGAATGCATGCAGCGACATACATAAATGAGATACAATGTTATAAATCATATTTGGACCTTCGATATGTCGGTCTCTGAAGGATGTTCTTCGCCATAGGCGGCCTCGATCTGGACGGTCTCTTCGACATTGATGTGCACCTGTTGGTCGATGAGTATCGAGCACGACGAAGAATCCTGTATAGCACCCGAACCGTAGTGGTCATGGGAATATGTTCGGTACGTGGCTGTATGGCATGGTAAGATTTTGTCCTTAACGAATGCGGCAGACACACATGTTGTCTACTGCGGGTCTGGCCGCGTTCGTGATTTCCTGAGTGCTCGCCTGTGCTAATGACCATCGGGAAAGAAAGGTCCACGTCAGCAGCGGATGACTGCTGAAGTCGAAGAGCTCTTCTTGCGTTCAGCCTGTGCATATGAACATAAGGAATATTCGAGTGATGACTAGCCATATGCATACGTTGAGAGCAGCGCATTGGCATATACTGATACAATCTTCAGACTAAATAGACCAACAATGGAGTGACGTGACGCACGCTTGGTGATGATGAAATGCAGAGACAAAAAGACCAGATTCGGTAATGTAACCCACTGCATTTCCCGATCAGTGATAGCGTCAGCAAGACAGTTCAAACGTACGCATATCAAGGTTACGATTGTTGTAATACTGGATTGCAGTCAATCTCAACGCGATTACGACAACACAAGATCTCTTACAAGGTGATCGTGCCGTTTTGCACCGTATAGAAGGTCAGTGTGTTGAGGACGCTATCCATCCTGTTCCAAAACATTCAGTGGTGTGCTAACAAAAGACGTCGAGAAGCAGCAACATACGAGGAGAATCCGCTCTTGCTCTTCCATAGATAGTAGCATAGCGTGGTCGCGACCATGATATCCAACGCTGCTGATAATGAAAGGCCAAGGGTGAAAACCCACTGAAGATGCATGGGAGTATAAGGTTAGGCACCGTTGTCATCCCACCCTGTTGTATGACCGGTCGCTCACCCCTGCATCTGTTTTAAATTTCGAGAAGCTCCCCAGCCGATCCCTGCCTGGCTCGTCATTTTGAGCTGATATGCGGCATCAAGGCCATGAACGCACATCATTGCGGTAGAGACCAGCGCAGCAACTAAAGGTGTTTTAGATCAGACCAGTGACCTTTTTTTCAGAAGTCATACCTAATCGGGCGAATGCGACCACAACCTTTGCGAATGTGAGCGGAGGACGGTTGTTATGAGTTCAAGCTGTTTCATCTTACCAGCGGTATAGCGATATGCCATTTTCTTTGGCTTACTAAAGCGAAGCATCAATGACAAACGCCGTTCATCAAAACTTACGAGATACCTGTAAAGACCCTGTATGCGAAGAAACTAAGCCACAATGTTAGCGGATTGGCCTCAAACGAGATATTATGGAACAAACCATTGCACTACGAAGGTCATGATCGCCTATGAGAGCGCTGAACGAACAGCGGCCTGAATTACCAAAGACAAGCCTACCGTGAGCGCTATTGTGGTCTGACTCCATATCAGTGTCAAATTGCAATTACAGCTTTCCGCGCACATACTGCAATTGGCCTGGAAGACAGCAATATCAAATTATTAAACGTGACTCTAGCCGTGCTTAGCTGCGTGTTCGAGCGCACATACCATGGTAACCAGTCCTTGACATCATTGCTTTCCCAGTGGGAGATAAAATATTGCCAATCTCCAACACATACAAATATCGTATGCAAGATATCAAGTGTCCTGGTAAGGCCATGCGTGCTTTCGAGTCGGGGACCTCACGTGAATTAATTGCAGTGCTCACCAGATCAAATAGACCTGTCGACCGATTCGTGTCATCCGAATAGTTCAGCATTTCGTCAAGATTGTGAGGATATCCTACCACGACTTTCAGCCGCAGAGCGTCATCATGGTACAAGGAAGTATAGAGAACAGTCTGCATTGACACGATTCCTGAAAGGCTGCATGTACAGAAAGAGGTAAGCCGCGTATCGTCGCCGAACTTGGGGTGCCGGGGCGCTCACAACGTGGACACGAAGCCGCCCGCAAGGACGGCACCCAGCGTCGAGGGTATGCTATCCAAAGCGGTCGACATCGCATGAAGACTGTGAAGGGAATAGGGCAGCGCGTGCGAGTCAATCGAGATCATATCATGCGTATTTGAGTGCTGGCGTGGTGGCGCCGAGCAGCCAGACAGGCCCGTGACAAGCGGATAGTGTGGGATGAAGCGCCGGTCTTCAACCGAAGGTCCGCCATGGTAGATTGGTAATCTGGCGCGTTCGAGTAGCTGGACATACAAACTGGATCAGAGCGACATCGAGTTTGTAGGCGATTTTAACCCCGACGGATGGACGGATCAGCGTGTCTTTCACTTGCCAGCCGTCGGCGGCCATGAACCCATGGCAGTAGTAGGCTCGACGCAACAGATAAGGTAAGCATTTGCCGGTAAGCCTTCGGTGGTGCCGAGTGTATGAGAAACGAATAATCAGCTTCGAGTCCGTTTCGAATGCCGGGGGTGCATATTTGTGGAAGAACACTCACCACGACTCCTTCTATAGCCGGATTCCCGCGTCAATGGCTTGCTATCTTCCGAGTGGAGCAATGAATGGATTGTATGACTCAATTCAGCGTTCTATCGGATAGATGCATGTCACGGATTGAGCTGTTCCCGGACTTCTGTGATCAAGAAGGCGCGGGACGCGCCATCAGGAACGCATGAAAAGATGCACCCAATAATTATGATATCGCACCACTGGCGCCGTATTTTGGCAGTTTACCATTGCATTCTAGGGAACATAAGGGTCGTCGCTACCTTCCTGTCTCTCGGTTCATCATGCATCCGCAAAACATTCAAAAAGTGGAGTTGGCATAGCCTGCTCGAGAAGCAACGAGTCACTGCGGGGTGTCAAGGAACAAGCGCTCACGGAAGCGCGAACAAGATACCGGCATGCAAACTGTACAGTTCTCATCCCGAATTTCAACGAAGGTCATGGGTCCGCACTGAGTATAAGGAACGACTGTCTTCCTGTTACGAAGGCTGATTCATGAGCCTAGGTCCGCACCCCATTGCTGCTCAAAATGTCTTTGTGGACAGCAACATAGCGAGAAAATGGACGGTCGGCATCGTCAGGTCGATGTTAATACTCTTTTAATAAATGGATGAATACCTTAGCCCTACTAGTATATCATCTTGCCATCATTGTTCCGCTTAGAACGGATATTCTGAAATAGTCCTAATGGAAGTGACAGATTTGGAGGCTCCGCGACGTCTCAGTGATTGCCTACGCAGTGCGATGTGAACATTGCCATGTGCAACGCGCTGCAGGCATCAAAAATATACCCCGGAATTCCTAAAACGACATCCGCATGCTCTTCATCAGTATCTCAAACAGTGCCTAACCTATTGGACCATGACAACTTCCTGCTCGGGTACGAGAAGACGTTTGATGCTTGCATCAACCACATGATGGCGACTTTGATGAACAAATTCTAACTAGATAGCGCACGGCTCTGTTGTGTGGAATGAACGACCAGCCTTACGGCGGAAAGACACCATATTGAGCTGTCAAACTGACATGAAGTTCAGTGCGTTCGTTCATTGAATGACGGCCGTGGGTTAGTGTCTTCCGAAATCATCATGTGTGAGCTTGGCAAGTGTCGTCGGTAGACCTACCGAATTCAGGCCGTAAAGCACGTCCGCTGGGAATGACATCTCCTGCAGAATCATTCTGCTCCTCGATCGACCACTGCTGAGCGGTGAATCATGAACTTCAGAGATTCCATAGCCAAAAAACAAGCCCTTACTGGAAGATAGCGCGCGGGAAGGCACACGCGCGCGCAACGGCTGCACGAGCCTGTGGAAGATCACAGCTGGGACCGAAGCATGATCAACTCATGAATATTTGAATATGAGGAAGAGACTCTCGTGAGCGATCGTTGTGAATGCATCGCGCGAACACCCGAGCGGATCGAGCAACAATCCGGTGTCAACATATCAAGGCAGGAACTTAACTATGATGTAATGCCAAGTTAGTACAAATACAGGCCGTTTCAGTGGAAATGCGGATGATGCCTTATAATTAATTTATCTGAAACGTCCCTGCCAAGGAACAGTGTGGCGCTTCATCAACAAAACGCCGACGAAGACGTTTGCGCTTTACAGCCATTGGCTCTCTGGAGGATCACCGATATCGGAAGTAACGACGGGAGGACACATATGACCGGTGACAGACGTGAGAGTGGAAGGTGCAGAGTCCGCCAATAAGAGATGCCATTTGAAGTTAGTGTACTTCCAGGCCATACCAAATACACGACTCATATGTGCTGTGTGTAGTTGATCAACCTTCCATCGTCTCTTCCGGAGGGGGGCCACCTCCTTGACTATCCTTGTCTTTCCGTGTCGCCTGCACAACATCATCAACGCGCAGAAGGACTCGTGCGGCTTCAACAGCTGTTTTCAAGATTTGGACCTACACGGGCTTATCAGTAGCATTTCAAGCTAGATACAGATGAAACATTACCTTGACACTCGCAGATTCGTACAACCCATATTCCTTCATATCAACAATCTTACCAGTCTCGCCATTGACTCCCCACGAGTGTTCCCCGTTTGCGTGCTTAGCCTGTCCGAAGGTGAGTGGATTACTAGGCCTCGGTGAGTAATCGGCACATACCCGCAGCTCAGTCAGCACTCTGATTGCATTACCGCCGGCGTTCTGCACGAGCGTCCTAGGAATGACCTCCATCGCATCTGCTACCGCTCTGAACGGTCCATTCTCAACACCCGTGATACTTCGCGCCTTCGCCTGCAGTCCAACACTTATAGCCATCTCCGTCGCGCCGCCACCCGGAGCAAGTAATGGGTTGAAAAAGACATTACGTGCAACGGACATTGCGTCTGCGAGATTTCGGTCCACTTCGTTCAGGATGTCCTTAGAGGGGCCGCGGAGGAGAATAGTGCATGCCTTCGGCGTTTTGCACTCAGTGAGGAAAGTAAAATACCTGAGATGGTCAATAATCACGATAACAGGTCATAGCAGCTATGCACTCACTCGTCGCCAATTTTCTCAATGTGGAAAAGACCACAGTTAGTTCCAATGTCCGATTCCCGGAGATCTTCGACACGGTTCACAATTGTGGCTCCAACTGCCCGTGCAATGCGGTTATTATCTGACTTGCGAACTCGTCGGATGGCAGAGACATTGGCCTTGTAGAGGAAGTGTTGCGCGTAATCTGTCCACCGAGCTTGTTACAAGAGAACGCGAATGAGAGACGAGAAACATACCAGAAATGCCTTTCTCCGTAATGAGGAGATCGGGCTTCAGTTCAAGAATCCGATCAACCATCGCCTTGACCTGCTCCTCCTCAATCTCCTGAATCCTCGACCAATCCGCCTCTTTGGAGATCTCGATGTTGGTCTGCGACTCTCCCTTCTTATATTCCAGCGGGCAGTCGAGCAGAACGATACGCGGGTTCTCGATCCGCCTGCGCATTTTCGGATGCGTGATGTCCTTATTCAACATAATCCCATTAAGCACTTTGCTTTGTTCGATTTCGCCGCCAGGAATCTTCTCTACGCGTGCATAACGCTTGATATCGACTGTTTTAACGGTACCCTCCTCCGTTGCAACAGTTCTCACAGCCTGCAGCGCGAGATTGCACATGAGGTCTGACCAGCGCATGACGAATTTCGTGCCTATCGACGTCTTGATGAGCGAGAGCATCTGGGCGTCATCATTGGTGTCGATTGGAATGGAGATGCGCTTGATGATCTCGAGTGCCTCCTTGAGAGCCTTGTTGTATGCAGAGATGATGACGACTGGGTGGATGTCGCGCTCTAACTGCTCGAGAGACTCTGCAAGAATCTCGCCGGCTACTCAAAATTAGTGAAGATATCGAATGAGACCTGTCTTATGCTCACCGAGAATGATCACGCTTGTGGTACCATCACCGCACTCCTCGTCCTGCGTTCGGCTGAGCTCAATCATGTTCTTCGCGGCAGGATGTGCGACATCGATCTCACGCAGGATTGCGTTGCCGTCGTTCGTCAGGCTGTACGTGCATGCGGTATGAGAAATTCTCGATATTCTCTGACAAACGTGGACTCACAGAATGCCACCCATCGGATCCAAAATCATCTTCAGCATTGCTTTTGGTCCAAGACATGTCCTGATGACGTCCGCAACGGTCTTCAGAACCAGTTGCATCAGGATACCTTCTATTCATACGAGCTTATTCCACACACCTTTGCTGCAGTGATATTGGAGATCTGAGCTTTTCGTCCAGATTGTCTCTCCGGGGCCGTGTCTGAGGGAGCTCGTCAGTCGCGTCCTCACGTTTAGCTGACGCGTGCAGCGCACTCATCACAAACACCGGGGTTTGACCTCCGGCCTGCATCTTCTAAATTATTTTTTGGTGGTAGGATGAGTGAGAGAAGGCAGATAGCAAGGTCTCGACGCTGCAGAATGCGAATCGCAGCTACAGTCTGAAGCGCCCAACTCCTCCATACGGGTTGCTTACGTAAACGAATTGCTTACGTAAGTATGGCTTTGACTTCGCAGCCACCGTTCCAACGTGCCTTCAGGCTTCCGGCCACACGTTAGTCTATAACCATGAATCCGACATATCCCACAATCACAATTGATTTGGTGAGCGTTCTTTTCCTTCTGGTTGCATCCTGACAGCTGATGCATGGGCAGCCAGGTCCTAGACCGCCTCACTGCGAAGGAGGCTCTTCGTGCCGTCTTGCATTCTGTTCTATTTCATCGCCTGTTCGGAACCGTCAAAGAACAGTCTCATGAAGTGCTCGACGTCACTATGGTATTTATATATGCGGGGATTTCAAAACAAGTTGTGCATTAATGCCTGTTCAGCCAGGCATAGATGATCCAGAGATGAAACAGCTAATCGAAGAAAAAGTGGATGCATTTTGGAAGGGCATTGAAGGTGGCATAAGCAAGCGTGGTCAAGTGAGCCCTGAACTGTTTCTTGTGTCAGGCACACTGATTTATCCTGATCAGATTATAGTTACGTTCTCCGAGAAGCGACCCCGAAAAACATGGTTCATTATGGGCGAGGTCTGTAAATATGTTAGAAATCTCTAATCGCCGCTGATCAGTGCCTGACAGGAAGAGATTCCTTGGGAACAGTGGTATGCGTATGGTCTCCGTGCAAGTTGTCATCTCACTTTTGGCGGGAACTGTAGGATCATTAACGCAGAGATGCGGCAGCCTGTCCAGGACAAGGGTGCGTATCTTCGTGCATCCTGTCTATTTGCTGTAACAAATAGCTGATCTTGTGCATGTCCGCGTGCGTAGACCGGCAGATATTCAATGGAGAGCTCGCGTCGGTCCTCACGAAGAGCCTGGAGACAATGTTGAACTATGCTTCTTCCGAGCGAGGCCGTTCCGCAGTCCCTATAATCACCAACGCCAACGGCATATCTCCATTTCCAATCAAGATCACTGTCAAGATCAAGGGCGTGGAGGTAGGGTGATATTGCTGACATTTACGCCGCTCAACCCCTTTGTCACGGTCTCGCGACTTAAAAGTGATTGCCACTGCGTCTTGGCCAATACCTTCACCCGCTTCTACACGGACTCTAATCCGGCGGCTTGTGTACCTTATAGAGCTGCGATGATCTGCTATGCTGTGCTTCATATGTCGTCGTCCGGTACGGCTGATCTTAGATCGCTATAACATCTCGTGTCATTGATCACATATGAAACTTATTCAGCGTGGTTTCTCAAGGAATTGTTTCCAGTGGCTCATCATATTGTATGTATGAAGGGATGTCGCCACCGTGACACGGTGGCTGCCACGAACGTGCCACAAGCGTGTGAGTTGCACGACCAATGTTGCTCGGCATCTTCGGTACCGCCGATGGTCATTGCTAGCGCCCTTGAGTTTTGTCCAACTGCAATGCTGTATGACGAACGTGCGAGGAACAGATGCCACAGTAAGCAAAAACGACATCTAACTCTGTTCCCGAGTGATTGGAAAGACCACAGGACGGCCAGGCCCTGTTCAGCAACACTATCGTGAACTTTCCACGACACTCACTATCTAAAGCTTGAAGATGGCTGGGCGTTCATGATGCATTCGCGGGTCCTGCACCGTTCCTTTTATATCCCGCCAGACAGCTCCGTCTAAAACATGGACCCGCAGCGAGTGCTTCTGATCCCAATTCCATCCGTTAGTCTCACCGATTCCACAATGTCGGTCAGGACGCCCTCGACGAAGAGCTCCCGACTCAGCCACAGCTCTAAGCGCTCAGGCTATACATCGTCCAGCGGTTCCTCGCACAGTTTCGGCTCCACCCTACACGAGGCTTACGCGCAATGGAATGCGGCAGACGAAGCTTCCCAACGTCTGCCGCGAGAACAACGCGAATTCGACGAATGCGATCGGGAGTTGGCGACGGCAAAGAAGATGCTTACTAACCTGCAGGCTGGAAGGTAGGCGCATGTATTATCGCAGACATATCGGTCGGTATCGTTGACGTCATTTGTAGAAGCCCGCCACGCGCGCTGAAGACGAAGATGTCCTTGTTGCAGGTGCTAGGAAAGGGGAAGAATGTCAGCGTGGCTCACTTGCCGATCCAGCCTATTCCGGATGGCAGCACGGCGGAAATCGTGGACGCCAGCGTCAGAATGCACGATCTGGAGAGGCAGCATCATGCTTTATCTGAACAGGTATCAGTTCACGGCGACTTGTCACAAAATCAAATGAATGTTGATCGTCAAGCTATGTCTGTCAGCTGGAAGCAACGAAGACTGCAGCAGCCACGCTAGACCAGTGTTTCGATCTTTTGAAGAACACCTTGGACAATGGTCCTTTGCCATGGTGGCGTTATTCGCAGTCAGTCATATTCATTCATCCCTTGATACGCCTGGTTTACGTCTGCCTCAAAGGGGGAATGAACATGAAATTTACCGAGCAGAGAAAAGCCTTGCCGCTCGCGAGAAGGCGTATATTGATGTACGCAATCCGATTCTCTTGCCATCATCTCGTTGACGCTACAGGCAGGCCACATCCACGACAAAGGCACTTGCACGGGCTCGGCTGGCGATACAATCGTCACATCACCACTATCTCCACGCGATCGATATCATGGAGAACATATGCAGCCGGAACAGAAGTACTTTTGCTGCTGCGATTGGAGATGAGCAGAGCAAGCAATCGACCTATCAAGGTGAGATATCTCAGAGTGCTAGGAGACTGACGAGGCTGACCAGTGTGTAGAGGCCGTCGAGTGGGCGAAAAAAGCGCAAGTCTGCCTCGCCGAATGCCTGCGCGTCCTGGAGCCGCAGTGGGACCTGATCAGGAAGGATGAACAAGAAGACCGCGATTTCCTCCGACAGTCCGGACTGCTGCAAGCGGTGAAGATCTACGAGTTGATGTACGGTGGCGCAGCCCTTAAAATGGGGATCACACGTGGGTCAATTCCTGTCTGCGCTGCTTTGGTAGTGACTAACAACTTGGTGATTGGTGCGTTGCTAATGAGCAGAACAAGTGCAAGCGATGCTCCAGAAGCAGGTAGCGGTGTTCGAGCGTCTGACGCATTTCGCCGTCGGTATACAGGAATGTACAGCATACTGCGAGTCTGTCGAGCAAGATGCCAGGGCAAGCCGCGACGTCGCCAGGCGATATGCGGTTTCTCTGTGGATGAACACCCCGGTACCCGCTTCCCCGTAGGGTGCCGGACGTTTGTGGCCCGATGGTTTGTATCAGACCGGCTCCTGACTTGCTTCTCTGGCAGTTCTTGTCTGGCAGTTCGGCCTCTTCACGTCCCGCTTCCCTTACCCTTGGATATATACGTAGCCTCTACATTCTGGTTTATTGGGTGTCCGCTTCACTGTACTTTATATGTTTGCATGTGTGTTTTGCGCTGTAGTCTAGACGCCTAGAACGGGCGATGTATCTTTAGCGCCTGGAATATGTCATGGTCACCTATTCGTTTGTGTTATTTCACCACTCGGCCGAGCGGGTTTTCTGAAACCACTTCCCGGCATATGCGCAGCCTGGCCTAGTTGCGCCATGTTATTTTTTTGTTCCGTAGGCCGCGACACATGACGAGGGGCTAGCCGAGCGCTCCGTCTCGTTTAATGTTGTCGGCTCCTTCGACATCGCCCGCTCAATACTACAACATTCTTCCTCCTCATGACATCCACATTAACGCACTACGGAAAGGGAGCCCTTCGAGTCGCGAAGAATTACACGAAGGGGTACACCCATACTCAGGCGAAAGTCAGGGATGCGACTTCAAACGATCCGTGGCCGCCGTCTGGCCGGCAGATGCACGAGATTGCGCAACTGACATTTAACCCGTAAGCTCCTTTGCTACGACGTCCAACGGATTCGCAACGAACGTCATGGAATCGCAGGGAGGACTTTGTTGAAATCATGGAAATGATGGACAAACGGCTGAACGACAAAGGGAAGAACTGGCGTCATGTATTCAAGGTGCGCAGCAGTCGGCTCCTATGCTGAACAGACACTCAATAATGAGCAGGCTCTCACTCTACTTGACTATCTGCTGCATTCTGGCTCAGAAAATGTGATCCTGTATTTCCGGGATAATCTTTATGTGGTCAAGACTCTGCGAGAGTTCCAGTACGTCGACGACAACGACCAGGACCAGGGCGCCAATGTCCGTCTGAAGGCAAGAGAGATTGTCAACCTAATGCAGGATGAGGGAAGGCTGCGCCACGAGCGACGGACGCGAGCCCGCATGTATGAGCGCATGGGTCATCATGGCTGGCCGGACGACTCGGATGATACGGATGAGGAAAGTGGCACGAGGCGCAGCGGATATCCTCCGGTCATTCCCACGAGGCCGTTAAACAAGGAAGACGAAGATGTGCGCCGCGCTATCGAGGAGAGCAAGCGGAGCATGGAGCATGATCGGGCGACAGCGGAGGAGCGAGATCTGCAGAAGGCGATCCAGCTGAGTAAGGAAGAAGAGGAGAAGAGAGCGAAACAGTTGGCAGAAGCCAATCTCATCTTATTTGACGAGCAGGGACAAGCGTGAGTATCCTGCTGTGTTTGATGAGCGTGAGATGGGTTTGATCGACGTCTATTCCAGCAGACAGCAGCCACAGCAGACCGGCATCCTCGTCGACGCTACCCTCCCTCTTCAGTATGCGGTGACCGGCGTCCAACCGCAATATACGGCGATGCCGTTACAGTCACAGTACACTGCAATGCCGTTGCAAGCGCAATACACCTCATTTAACCCGTTCCAGCAACAGGCGGAACAAGAGATGCTGCAGGTATGGATCAACGATCTATCAAGTCTGATGGGATTTCATTGATGAGGTGTGACAGGCTCAATACATGCAACAGCAGCAGGCGGAAATGGTGGCAATGCAGCAAGCGCAGGAGGTACAGGCTCTGCAGCAGGCTCAGTTGCAGGCGCAGCAAGAGGAGTGGATGCGACAACAGCAGCTGCTCGCTCAGCAGCAGCAGGCTGCTTTATTGCCTCAGCCCACGGCTGTTCGGATTGGGTGCGTATCAATGTTAATGAGACTGCATGCTGTCAAAGACTGACAACACGTCTGCTCTACAGTTCTAACAATCCATTCGCATCTTCCGTGCCACCTCGCGACAGTGTCTCTGCTGGCCCGCAATTGCAGCAGACGACTGGCACCGTGTCATTCAATCTCACCGGCACGTATGCCAACCGGGAGAACACAGCGAGCGCCCCTCTTCCCTCACTTCAGCAGCGGTCATATACCGGCCGACCTACACGGACCGACCAACAACACTCGCGTCTTGCAGACTTGTTTGCAAACCGTGGAGAAGATGGTGTCGACACCTTCGGAAACGTCGGCCAGCTTCGGTACGTGTTGTTTAAATCCTTGAGCATGAACGCGTGCTCATCACTGCTTGCCTCCTACTCAGGTTCATGTCTACCGAGGCTGGACGAGTCGTTGCGCAAAAGACCGGCCCAGCGACTCATAATCCCTTCGTGCAGCACACTCCTAGCCAACAGAACGATGCAAGCCTCATCCAGTTCTGATCACTGTCTCCGTTTGATGTGTTGTTCCTTGTACATTCTCCCTCTTGGCTCCTTTAAAAATGTATCCATATGTTTTTCCTCTATCTCGCCCGGCGCACCCTGTGTCCTAACATGTATCTTACGGTAATATATAGTATACATCCTCGATTCAACGTGATCCGACGGCCCACCGGCGGTCAGCAGCTGACCAGGGTGGTGACGATTGGTTTGTGGGAAGACGGCGATATCATGCTCGGAGTGAAATTAGAGGGCAGTTCGGAGGATGTTTCGGCGTGTCAACTGTCGCACGAAGACAAGGCAATGTATTCCCGGTGTGAATCCATCAGTTCTTTGTCTTTCAGCTGCTTAGTGGCTTCCCAGCCGTATATAGAGCAGGTCGACCAGTCCAGTCGTTGGTGCTGCCCCCACTCCTCCCGTGCAACAAACACCGTAAGCGTGTACTACTGTTAAAGGATGGATTTCACAATTGCGAGATCGCCGGGCCAATGCTGCATCAAGACTGTAGAACACACAGGAACGGCTCGCGGGACGATAGAGAAGGTCGCTGATGTTAACACGTACATCGCGCATCCAGCCAACCTTGACGAGAGCAGGAGGATCATTCTATTCTTCGCCGATGTCTATGGCCCGTTTTTCCTCAATTCGCAACTCATCATGGACTATTGGGCCTCGCAAGGTGCGCTTCAAGTGTCTTGGCATACATCAACAGTAGTTGATGACGCGCTGATAAAGGGTACCTGGTGCTGGCCTTGGACTATTTTGAGGGTGACCCTGTGCAGAATCACCTCGACGAGGTCGGGCCAAACTACAGCATCGAGTTCGACTTCGTCCCCGGTAAGATGGTACGGGCGAAGCAGCTCGCACCTGCATGGCTTGATGCAGTTAGGGAGAAGTTCGGTGAGTGTTTCCGTTTGTCAGGCCGGCTCGTATTTAGGTCGATCTATCCGGCTAGGTACCTCAAAGACGCAGTGGATGGCAGTGGGTGCGTGAGCATTCCGCTTCGAGGGCCATGAAGAGACTTACTGTCCTCACAGGGTATTGTTTCGGTGCACCGTTCGTGATGGACTGCCTCGCCATGGACTGGATCACCGCGGGTAATAGACAGAGAGGCTTATTCACTGAGCCTGGTCAATTCACGAATTTTATCATCTAGGCGCCTGTGCTCATCCTGCAGTCCTCAAGGATCACCACTTCCAGGATATGAAGAGTGAGCTGCGCTTATCCCCACTTTAAGCTGGCAACCCGTGACTCATATTTGTGTCTCTTCAGAGCCTCTATTGCTCTCTTGTGCAGGCGGGTTTCGAGACTCTTACCGCTCACCATTCTCCTGACATCATCCTACAGAGGTTGATCACACGTTCCCATTGGAGTTCCGCAGGAGAGCGGAGGATATCATGATTGATAAGAAGGCGACATACCACATCCAGGTCTTCTGTGGGGTAACGCATGGATTCGCACTACGTGGAAATGTGAACGATCCCGTAGCGAGTGAGTCATTGCGATCTATGCATCAAAGACTAGTATGTACTCACTCGTCGATACTTGCAGAATGGGCGAAGGAGCAGAGCGCCAAGACAATCGGGAGCTGGTTTGACATGTTCTGTAGCACAGCAGAGCTGCAATCCAAGCTCTAAGCACCGTTGAAGCGGCAGGGTCTACCTGAATGCGTCGTTGTATATCGACATCTTCATAGTGGCAGTGAAATGGTTCAGTCTCTCAGTCTGGCCGAGAGTGCACGAAGCTACTACCGCCAATGTTGCTGATCGACTGAGTGCGGAGACAGTGGGTACATTTATGAATTGGTTTATTACCAACTCTTCATTCGTTGGCGTCAAGTCACAGAGCTCCTACAGGACGCCATCCTCTAGTATTAGTGCATGAATATGCCAATTCAGGTGGATTTCATTGAGAGCCGTAAGCAGCAACTTTGCACGAGTCGATCATTATGTACCGCAGTTCAAAGAGTTCAGACGCGGCAACCATTGACATAAGCTCGAGCTTGCTCAACGTGACAATATTCCCAAAGCTTAAAGCTTTTGCAGATCATTGCAGACATAGTCATGAGGCTGCTGAGTGGAAGACACGGGAGACATGGTGCCATTTTCAAGCGTGTAATATGCTTAGCAAATGATAAATAGATAGTCAGATTCTAGTTCATTATTTGTGTTGGTCGCAATTTGTCTAGTAAAATTAACATCTGAGACCATACATGGGATTGTGCAAAATCCTACAGGCCAAATTCAAACTTCGCAGAATGCGCGTAGTCACAAATATGGAAATATAAATGTCAACCCCCGCCAATCCGTTACGTTTGAATTTCTTATGGGAAGTATAATACTCCCAAACTATGGTTTGTAATATACCATAGTTTCATTGTGGCTATCATATTCTAGATTTGCGGCGGCACATGTAACATCCACTTATTATTGTTAAAGGTTGACTATCTAATTAACATTTGTCACAGCATATAGCACGCTCGAAAATACCTCCATGTCTCTAGTGAGAGCGAGATGATGTACATGCAGCTGTGGCCTGAATCCGAGTCACTACGCTGTTTGAGGCTTGACGAGCGCCAACAGGCGCCAACGCCACACCGCGAAGGCGAGGTTGCTTACGTGATCGCGCTGCATTTGGCAGTTACTTGTGGCGCGTCGCGTTCTGTCTTCCCTTAACTCCCTCTTCTCCTCCAGTCCATCATGAGCGTGCGTGCTGCGGATTTCTCAAGTCTGATTCTTCTCTGACTTGCGCGCAGAACAACGACGTGCCTATCGACGAAGACATCCTCAGCGACGTCGTACCAAGCAACATTGTGTCGCGCCAAGAGAGTGAAGGCGTAGAGAGCGAGTACGTAGAAGAACCTCCCGCCACAGAGATAGACGAGCTTCAAAGCGACGATGAGGATGAAGACAATGTATGTGTGCTCACAATATGGAGACACGCCGCTGACGCGTGTTTTCGCGCAGAATCAGGACATCAGTGCTCCTTCGCCATCCAAGGTGGCTAGAATGCAGGCTTCAGCCGATAGGCGACAGAAGAAGCAGAAACGGATGGCAGAGGAGGGCAAGCTGCATGCAAGAAGACAGCAGATGGACAAAGCAAAGGCACGCTGGTTCAGAGCCGTTCTATGTTTCTTTACTCATAAGCCCGCACCAGATCTCGGATGCTGTCAAGCGCTATTCCTACTTACTCGGGCAGACGGAACTATTCAAGCATTTCGTGGACATTAAGGTCAGTAGCTATTAAGAATATGAAGACAATGGCGAGCTAACCATGCCGTGTAGAAAGCCCGTGATCCACAATACGCCGCATTATTGGATGCCCAGCCGAAACCTAAAGGTCGTGGGCGGAAAAAGGCCATGTGAGATTTGTGTCATCGACATTTCAAGATTACGTTCTTGACATGGGATTCGCACGGCAGTGATAACAGCGCTCGCCACAGAAAATCAGAGAAGGAGGAGGATGAGGAATTGCTCAAAGACGGCGAACTAGCAGCGGATGGCGATGACCAACCGTTCGTCTTTGAGGAGTCGCCTAGTTGTGAGTGTCACTATGGTTGACCGCCGTTGTTTCCACTGATAAGTTCAATTACTCGCAGTCATTAATGGAACCATGCGACCATACCAGCTGCAAGGCCTCAATTGGATGGTCTCTCTACACCACAATGGTCTGAATGGTATCTTGGCTGATGAGATGGGTCTGGGCAAGACACTTCAAACGATTTCTTTCCTGGCATACCTGAAGCACTATCGCGATATCTCCGGCCCTCATCTGATCGTGGTGCCGAAATCGACACTTCAGAACTGGGCTCGCGAATTCGAGAGGTGGACTCCCGACGTGAACACTATCTTGCTGACTGGCACGAAGGAGGAGCGTGCGGAACTGATCACCAACCGGCTGATTCCTCAAGACTTCGACGCACTGATCACCTCTTACGAGATCTGTCTCATCGAGAAGTCGGCATTGAAAAAGTTCTCATTCGAGTACATTATCATTGACGAGGCACATCGCATCAAGAACGTGGATTCCATCCTCTCCCAGATCGTTCGCTCCTTCACATCTCGAGGGCGACTGCTGATCACCGGGACGCCACTACAAAACAACATGAAGGAGCTCTTCGCTCTGCTAAATTTCATCTGTCCTGAGATCTTCTCCGACTATGCTGATCTAGAGAGCTTCCTGCATAAAGATGAGGCAGAGGTTGAAGGTGATGAGGAGAAAAGCAAGAAGGTAGTTGAGGCTTTACACAAGATTCTCCGACCGTTCCTTCTGCGGAGAGTTAAGAGCGATGTCGAGAAGAATCTCCTGCCCAGTAAGCGCTCTAGCTGTGTACCTTCTTTTATTGCTCTTACAGTGTTTTGCAGAGAAGGAGATCAACATTTACGTTGGTCTCACGGAAATGCAGCGCAAATGGTATCGTTCCGTGTTAGAGAAGGATATTGATGCCGTCAACGGTGAGCTGCGATGACTGAGGCTGCATTCAGCAAATACTGACAATTACTCCTCAGGCCTCACAGGCAAGAAGGAGGGCAAGACGCGGTTGATGAATATGGTTATGCAGGTCAGTTGTAATTGTCAACGCGAGGGACAATGAAATTGACATGTCATTTCAGCTGCGCAAGGTCACCTGTCACCCATACCTTTTCGACGGAGCTGTAAGTCGCTTGCACTCCCGACCATGTGTACCTCCTCTAAATGTCCCATACTGTAGGAACCTGGCCCCCCTTATACCACCGACGAGCACCTGATCGAGAACTCGGGCAAGATGGTCATTCTGGACAAACTATTGAAGTTGATGAAGGCGAAGGGTTCTCGAATCCTGATCTTCAGCCAGATGAGTAGGATGCTGGATATTCTCGAGGACTATTGTCTGTTCCGCGGATATAGTACGTGAACATTTTTCGTCATTTTTGACAATCACATTCATGGTATTTCCAGAATATTGCCGCATTGATGGTAGTACTGCCCATGAAGACCGTATCGCCGCCATTGACGAGTACAACAAGCCGGACAGTGACAAGTTCATCTTCCTCCTCACAACGCGTGCGGGAGGCCTGGGTATTAACTTAACCTCGGCGGACATTGTCGTGCTGTATGACAGCGACTGGTAAGGTCAAGTAGCGTGTTTAGCAATACAAGTTGTCTGATAAGCTGATCCTTCAGGAACCCTCAAGCCGATCTGCAGGCCATGGATCGCGCACACCGTATTGGTCAGACCAAGCAGGTGTATGTCTTCCGCTTCATCACCGAGGGCAGTGTAGAGGAGCGGATGTTGGAGCGTGCTGCTCAAAAGCTAAGATTGGATCAGCTTGTCATCCAGCAAGGCCGGACACAGAATAACAAAGGTGAGCGCTAGCGTGGTGGACCGTTATCCGTATTGCTGAAGCAGTGTGAAGCTGCGAACAAGGACGAGCTACTGGAGATGATCACTCATGGAGCCGAAAACATCGTGAACTCGAATGACGAGTGAATGGCTTTCTCCGCCCTTACGATATCCTTGTGCTAATGTATGCTTATGACAGCCTCATGATCAACGACGACATAGACGAGATCATCCAGCGCGGCGAGAAGCGTACGGAGGAGCTCAACAACAAGTACGAGGGTCTCACCTTCGAAGACTTGAGTAACTTCAAGTCCGAAGCTTCGGTACAGCAATGGGAGGGCGAGGATTTCCGCGCAGGGGTGAGTGCTGTAAGCATCTTTGCAATGCAGATTCCTGATATGTCTCACCTTCAACAGCGCAAGGCGTTGCAGTTCAACCCCCTGGCGTTGTCAAAGCGAGAGCGAAAGCTCAACTACTCTGTTGATAGCTACTTCAAAGAGACCATGCGGGCAGGCCCGTCCAAGACGGAGAAGGCACCCAAAATTCCTAGAGCGCCGAAGCAGATTCAGCTGTAAGCATGCTCTAATACTGACGGTGAGCAATGCCTAATGCACAGCTGCAGGCAAGACTTCCAATTCTTCCCTCCACGATTGGCGGAACTGCAGGAGCAGGAGCTCGCTGCACACAAGGTCAGCACTCTCACTTCTGCTTAGGAACTACGCCATTGACTGGTCTTTAATAAGCGAGCGAACGAAATTCCCGCTACCTTGCGCGAGCCTGCTGGACCGGAAGATACACCGGAGAAACTGGAAGCCGAACAACAGGCAGCGCAAGAGTTTATTGACAACGGTAGGCTTTTATGTTTCAAGTTGCGGAGGGACGTTTATTGATGACCTTCCAGCCGAGCCTCTGACTGAAGAGCAGCTCCAGGAGAAGGAGAGGTTGATAGCACAGGGCTTTGAGGAGTGGAGTAGGCGTGATTTCCAACAGTTCATTCGTGCGCTCGAGACGTATGGATGGTAAGTCTTTGTGCTTGCTTTCGTATCCTATCCACTACTGATCGGGTGATGTCCGCAGGACGGATGACTATGAGCTTCTTGCGTCCGAGATTCAGGACAAAACTCCTGCCGATGTCGCGGCGTACTACCCTGTGTTCCGCAAGAAGTGGAAAGAACTTGCAGGTATGTGCCTTCTTTGAGTCCCTGACAGCCTCGACTGAATGGCGGTCCTCATCAGAATATCCAAGGATCAAGGCTCGTATCGAGGAGGGCGAAGCGAAACGGCACAAGCGATCCAATCTCGAAGCTCTGCTTTCGAAGAAGATTGCCTCCGTGCGGTACCCAATGCAAGAGTTGGAACTGAACTATCCCACGACAAAGGGCAAAGTGTATTCCGAGGAGGAGGACCGGTATCTGCTCTGCCGGCTGAACCACTATGGCATGCAAGCTGAGGATGTGTATGAGAGGATCAAGAAGGACATCACGGAATTTCCTGTATTTCGGTTCGACTGGTTCTTCAAGAGCCGAAGCCCGCAGGAGCTGCAGAGGAGATGCAACACGCTTCTGGGAATGATCGAGAAGGAAGCGGAGTTGAAGCAGGTCGAGGAGGTTAAGACGAAGGGCCCAACAAAGGGCAAGGTGTGTCTGCTTTGTCCATTCTGGCTCCTATCATCGCTAAGTAGTGCTTCCTGCGTATAGAAGAGAGGCATTGATGAGGTGCAGAAAATTGAGGAGAAGAAGGAAAAGGAGAAAGAGAAAGAAAAGGATAAGCCTTCTCGCTCGTCGACGCCGACTAGCAGCACGACCGCTGCTGCGGCGTCGACAAAGCGGGTATACAAGAAGAGGAAGACATAAGCTTGGACGATGGTTGCCTGGTCCGCCTCGTCTCCTATTCTCTTTCTGCTGCATACACTCTGGTAGTACACGGTAGTAACGGCGTAGCGATTGTACTGGATTATATATTTAGACTAGATGTGATGCTTTACATCGTCTTCGTCGTCGCGCTTACCCTCGCGGTAGCTGACCGCTCGGAGGCTCGGCAGATAACTGTCGCGCCCATCTGTCACCCGCGACTATGTCTGGAACGACGACGCCGTCCTTGCCAGGTGACTATGGCTCTAAACCTCCTTCTCCCTACTCAGAGAATATCCCGAGCAACCTGCATCGCGCTCACTCTCGCTTGGAGTTTCCGCCTGTCTACGTCGTCGTAGGTATATATCGGCTGGTCACCGATGAAAAGCTGTTCAAGCCAGCCTGGAAGAAGTGCGAGCATGGCCTCGTGAGGGGCATGACTATCGGCGTCGTGTGGGTACGTTGTGGGGCGATATCCTCAGAGAAGACTCAGCCTAACGCGACGATGAACGCAGGTTGCAACGACGTTCAAGATACAAAGGTTTGCCGTTCGGACGTTCATGATGCAGTATGTAGCCATACCTGATACCGGGTCCAAACACGGAGGGCTGACATGGGACATCTCGCTGCTCGCAGCTCCTCACGAGTAACAGGACTCTCTGGAGAGGCCGTCTTTGGCTTCCATGTCCCATTCGATCTGCCTACCTGTGCGTGCTTTGTACGTTCTCCATGTGAATGACCAGCCTTACCACACCACACAGATGCCACTGTCTTCTTCATCTCTACGCAGCTCACTGTGATCATCTCCTACTTCATCTCGCACGGACTGCGCGTCGCCCGCGAGCGCGCGTACAATCAGACGATCGAGTCGCGTGCGAAGGGCTCGGAGTTCTGGCAGCCATATGTCGAGGAGTGGGACGAGCCGCCGAAGGTCAGCAAGGGCGTCCGGTGGACCCATGTCTTGGGCAGCGGCTTCAGCAGGTTTGCCATAAGATGTAAGTGTGCTGTGGTCGTGTGACGCTATGAAGAGTCTCTAAACTGGATGTTTGTACGTGATAGTGCTGCTCTTCAATGTGGAGACGGTGCCGCTATTTGGGATTATGGTGTCTGCTTGGCTTCGGGCGCTGGGGACTGCAAGGTACCTCCACAAGCCAGTAAGCTCACTTTTCATCTGAAGTTCGTTCGCCACCCTGATATGAGTCCCGTAGTATTTCCAGTCGAAGGCCATGACCTCGGAACAGGTTTCAACCTTCATCGAAGAGCGGAAGTGGGATTACAGAGGCGAGATTGCCCCTTGTTATATCTTGACCAGCATGGCTGACACTCATTTGACTTGCAATGCTCCTACATTCCGGTTACACAGCGTTTGGTTTCGCTGCTGCACTTCTCGAGCGTATTCCTATCGTCGGGCTTGTATTCTCTGTCTCTAATCGCATCGGAGCCGCCATGTGGGCTGTTGGTATGTGTTTTCATCGTTGTCAGTGATGCGCCCTCCATTTACGAGAATTGATTGTTAGATCTGGAGAAACGCCAACACTATGTTGCGGAGGTGAAGGCAGCGAAGACGGGGCAGGTTACATCATCGTTGTGAGTGTACTGCAGGCACACATATTGTACAGTACAGTCGGTCTAGATCTACTACAGATTGAGCTCCTGAGCTGATGGCTCGAAGATGACTGTGTTGACATGCTTACAGAGTGGTGACAACTCTAATACATGCAGTTGGCCCCATCATATGGCATATTTGCTTTCTCGGTGATGATATTTGATCTGCTGCCTGCGGCCAACGGGCAACTTAAAGGGCCATTTGGATTTGCAGACATTTCATTCAATGCAAGGAGCTTTGTTGCACGCTAGCCACTGCATGTGAAGTCCGGAAGGGCACCATATCCGTGAATCATGTTCTCCGACGCAACACCCCCCCCCTCATCTGTACGCGGTCATATGCTTGACACGTACTAAATTGAAGAAAATGCATCTGGATCTGAGTCATGCCGCTTGTCTTGCCAGCTTCGTGAACACCATCAGATCTACGGCTTGCATCTTGCATTTCTCCCATTTTTACTGTTTCTCCTGCATGTCAATATGCTCCTTTGACAGAATCCTAGCTCAATATCCTAACGAGGAGTGGCATATGATCCCCTCGCCTTTGAAGGTTGCGAAGTACGACAAGGACCCAAAGATGAGCGTCTAGGCAGTCACAAACATGGGCGACAAGGAGTGCGTAATGTGCAACTTTGCATCGCCGAATATGGTTGGTCACACGGGCGTGTACGACGCAGCCGGGGAGGCCATCTCCGCAACGGAGAAGGCCGTCGCGATGGTGTACAAGGCCTGTGAGGAGGCGGGTTACATCCTGCTCATCACGGCGGACCATGGGAACGCGGAGCAGATGATCAACCCCGAGACGGGTGCGACGCACGCGGCATACACGACGAACCCAGTGCCGTCATCATGACGGGCGACCCCAAGACGGCGAGCAGGAGGAAGGCGCGCTATGAGACGTGGCGTCGACGGTGCTTGACATTACGGTGGGTGCGTATGCCACTAAGATGTCGGAGCATGGAATGTATTGTCTGCTACTACCAATACACCGATATGTCCCGGACAGCATACAGCATCTTGGCAGCGGGATGCAGCTTTTGGCCTGACGAATCTCCCCCTTCCTGTTTATGCTATATTGAGCATATGCTTCGTGTCAGCTTAGCATGTTATTTTTGCTCGGATATCGCGATTGGAAAATTACGTCAAGGTGCAAATGCAGGCCCACAGTCAGAGTCGGTACTATTGAAAACGATCGCATAGCTTGTACGATGACTACTGCAGCTGCGTCAACTCGTTGGACTCACACTCCTCACTGATGTTCTGCTCGTCCTCCGTGCTGTCCTCGACATTCGCAAAAACAAGAGACGTGTGCTGGAGCTCGGCGCCAATGTTGCCAACCAGGCGAGAGGGAAATTCCGGCGTGTTCAGGGTGCTGTGAGAGATCGTATTCAAGTCCACGCTGCCGGACGATACCTGCCGTAGATTCAGGATGAAGCGCGACACCAGGATTGACGTTATTCTGATTGACTCGGTAAGCATGAGTTGAGCTTAATTGGGTATGGTCGGTCACTTACGGTAGCAGGAAAATTGCGATGGAGGCTGAGGACTGACTCTGCTTTCACTTCAATTTAAAGTAGCCATGCACTCGTACGGGTAGACCTACTCTTGAAAACTCGTATTGGGTATTGAAGATATTGAGAAGTAAAAGGGCCCTAGTGAACGGCGGAAGAACAGAGTCATGACAAGGCACTGCGACAGAGTCCGACCTACATGAAGTGGAGCGTGCCTTGAATTGGCTGCTCGTAAGGCATAGCATGTACCAAGAGAGCAACACGTAATCACCGTCTCTCATCAGCATCGTCGCGATCGATCCGTTTAACCGTAACTTCCGCACTTCGATGGCTAGCCGGAATGTTTTGAACCAAGTGACAAGGACCACGAGCAGGTCGGATACAGCCGAGCAGATGCCCGAGACGAAGGCTGCAGGAACCATGCGTGTCAGAGGAACAACCCATCAATCTTCAAACTTTCGTCTACACAGAGATAGGTCAGTCCTAGGAAGGCCGATGTCGGAGAGGTGGATGTGGCACGTACTCATCTATCGCGATGTATGGGCTGGGGCTATAGGAACAAAGTGGATAACTGCCTATGTAAATGACGGACTCAGGTGACATCTCTGCATCTGCAAACTGCCCAGAGGTGCTCAAAAGACATATGATGACAAAGAACATATATACTCACAGAGTGGGTTCTGAAATATATCTCCCCGATGTTGATGCCGACTGGCACTAATCCCAATAGCAAGACTAGCAATGCAGGGACGACCTGGTGTCCGCTAATAGCATATGTGCGGAACGTGGCAAAGCCTAACAATTTACCAATCAATCTCGTCATAAAATTTGAGGTCAAACAATCTCTGACTTGCTGTCACATGCCTGAAGAACAACACTCGTCACCTCATTCAGTACGTTGACAGCATTGCAGCTGCGACAATCTATTAACTGTGTTGAACATACAGTGCGATCGTGTCACAAAGCACCAAAGCACTTAACCCAATTAAGGGCAAGTCTGCTTTTGTGACCTGCACAAATGATCCCACATAAAAAGCCTGCCACAAAGGCTGAGGACGTGCGCAGTGGTATGCAGTCTGGAAAAGGGGCTCAAAGGGCCCTTAGCCTTATGCTCACAACTAGGGGGTGAATTGGCTTGTTA